AGGCATCCTTACAACACATAAGCTACACATATACAGTGTAATACCATGTTTGCAATATACTTTAGTGTGATTTTCAACGATTATGCAACTTTTTAGCATCTGGATTCTGATTAGTCGTCCAAGTTCACTGTAGTTTTGGCTATTTTAGTTTAGAGGAAGATATATTCATTCATAAGTGTGTTGTATTAATGATGGCCGTCGAAAGTATCTCGAGATTGTACTATAGACTTTTCTTTTATCATTTATATACCGTGTCTCTTTGTTTGAAAATTTGCTGTCTTGTTTAGAAAAGGTTTACGTACTTCTAACTCGAAAAAATAATCATTATTACTTAGCCGTCTGTATAAGACCGAGTGCATAATAGTTTGATTACCTGTGAATAGGACGTTTGTTTTCTAAAAGTGATGAGTTTCGTTTTTTTCCAAATTCTTCCATACATTAACATTTTTTATGGTATTAGCTGGCAAAACATTTTAGAAGCTGTCTGAAAGATTATTCTAACGCCCAAAGATACGTGAACAGACACACGTTCTCGTTGTTAGCTGTTCGGTGTAAGTACCCGACTTTGAATTTGTTTCTCTGGCTACAGACTACAATTGTCTACTGATATATGCTCGTCCAGCTAGTGTCGCTGTGAATATATCACGTTTGGTTTATCATTGGATACAAAGAAAATTATTTATCTGTTGGGAATAATGTTTTTTTTTCATCGATGAGACTCCAACTTCCTTTAGTTCTAGTTTACTTTGCTGTCACTTCTAATGCTGCATAATTTTTCTCCTTCCAGAGTATAAATGGGATAGAACCGCTTACTGACTAACTGGCATTCTGTTTAAACTCGTCTGCATGCAAACAGTATATCATATTACTTCAGTTCTCAGTTAAACAGCTGTCATTTATGGAGCATTTTTAAATGCTGCTAAGGTTTAATTATATGTGGTTTGGGCGGTTTTAGCAATTATAGTTATCGTCCTAATGATGAATTTCCGTTAAAACATAGACGTGGTCAATGGACTTTCTTTTTACATGAATGTCTCTTCCTTTGCTTTATTTTAAAATCAGTGTTCTCACTTCCTATTATTAGTGTTTGGGACGAGTATTTGGTTCATCTAATAATTTTTCCCCTAGTGGAGCTGTGATATTGAGTGGAGAAATTTTTATTGGTGACGACTGACAGCCGTTATTTGTGCCTGATGTAGTGACCTAAGCAGTTGAATCCAGCTGTCTTCCAAATATATGAGATTGAGATGCACGGGGTTACTTCTCTTATTCATTAAAATCCTATCCCACTTTCTATTCAATTTCATCATAGATGTACTAATGGACTTAACGCTTACTCACTTCAGCGACTCAGGGATTGGCTTGTTACAATCAGGGAATAATCTCGTTGACTTAGAATATGCAGATGATATAAACCTACATCCTAGGTGAAGAAGCTGACAAAATCTAGAGTCTTCTGAACACCTCGAACTGCAATCTTGGAATGTTTGGTATGCGATTCGCTTCCGCCAAATGTAAGATGATGAGTCTACAAAACTGGACTACATTAACTCCTAGCTTAGAAATAGGGAGTGAAGTGGTAGAGCACGTTGATCGCTTCACTTGTTTGGGAAATTGCATCAGCCAATGCCAGCGGCTTGACCGCTGATGAAGTCTCAGAACGGAAAAAGAAGACTAGTTTCGCATATTCCAGTTTAACGCCATCTCTGGAGTAGATGTGATATCCGGCTGGTTATTGACCAAAGGACGGGTGTACTGCTCAGCGGAGCAGTCTGCTCCGTCCTCCTTTATGGCTGGCTGTGGGGGAGACATGGCCATTGAGAGTGGAAGACATGAAAAGGCTAGCTATCTTTGATCATAGGTGCCTGCGTTCTATCTCCCGTGTGAAGTGGTATAACAGGGTGAGGAATATTGAGGTTAGGCTTCAGTCGAGTGGTAGGTAAGAAGGGAAAATCAATCGAAGAGGCTGTGAAGCTACATTGAGATGGTTAGGACATGTGCCTCCCTAGCCATCTCCTTCTTCGACGATCGGGAATGTTAGCTGACATAAGATGGGTCAGGTTGGAAAAGAATCAGTGCTGGTCAAACGAAAACATGACTTTATCAGTCAATGATATCCACAGCAGTTAGTTTAAGTCAGTCAAGTAGAAAGGTGTGAACTGGCTTGCTGGTTGGGGTCCTCAGGACAGTAAACACCAATGGCTGGAGACAATTGGTGATATGGATCAAAATCCTCGTTTTCAATGGCTGGCGCTGATGCATCCACTCCATGTGACTTGTAATACCCAGTAAAACTATATGGTTCTTCGCTACTGCTACTCTTTTTACTCTCTTCTTCTTCTTCTTTGGCTTTGTGTGCTGAGTGAAGTGTGGCGATTCGAACTACTACACATCGGTGCAAAGTTCTATGTTGAAACCAGTCAGTCAGTCTTTAGTAACTGGGCTATCTGATACACTTAAGGGCACATAAATACATTTACACCCTAGTTTTACTCATCTTTCTGTCACTACATTGATCTTCAGTAGCACCTAGAATGTTAACAAACTGCTTAGAATGGGGTTCGGGAAAACTCGTCCCAATGTATAGAAATAGCTTAGCAGCATGACGAGTACTTTCAGTCCACGGAAATATTTTTCACAGGTTATCACGTTCTGTTTTTCACATATTGCTTGGAAAACTAAACAGCAGCTTTATAACTTACTGAATTTCTTCATATAGCCTAGTTTAAGTGATTAAACCATGATGTCCTTTGGTATTATGAACTAGTCAAAATAGCTCAAATAACTTCACGTGAATTTCTCCTTTGAAGTTGCCGCTTAAACTATTTTAAAAGGAAATTCATAAAACTAGATAGGTCTTTCCATTGTAGATACAAATGCCGGTAATAACGGTATCGAAGCTATTTGATCTCAGGAAGATATTTGTGATATTGAGAAAGTTTCAAGCTGTGCTACTGCGAAAAAAATGCCGTAAAGCAATCGTCAGTTATTTTGTAAATAGTTAGTTACTTCATATCCTGTTCACTCAGTTTATGATTTTTGATAAGGAAAAGCTTGTAATTGGTATCGGAATTCAAAAATGCGCAGATATATTACTGCGTGACAGAGGTAGTCATAAGAGTTTAAATGACGATGCCAACAGGTTTAAAAAGTACCCTTCCAGTTCTCATATAATCATGCCCATATTCTCCTCTGGAATCGCCTAAGTTACCTGTCTGGTTTAAATTTTAGACACCTTGTGAAGAGATTGTCATTGGCTCGTGAAATTACTCACAGGGAGTATGACCAGCCAGCATTAATGAGAGTAGTGAATTATAAGAGGAAAGCTGGCTGCGTGTAAACAAAAGCAACATAGCCCCATGTACACACTGTGAGTTGTGTTTGAACCAGTTTTTCTTGTTGTCGATTTTGAATTCCCTACATGATGAAAAATGCAATGTCATTCAGGGAACCTTGTGAATTTTTGTTGGATAATATATAGATAATTAAACCGCCTCACCAGTGTAACAGAAGACTAATTAAACCCTATAATGGTGGGTCATCAAAAAACATAAATATATATGTAAAACTTGGGCATTGTGGTGCTAAGTAATTCCACATTAGTTTGTATATTAGATGTATCACACAGTCAGTGAAACAGTATTATTTACTGGATGAAAAGGTTTCGAACAAAATCGATTATTGTTCATAATCATATCAATCAATCATAATCACACGACTTCAAAACTTGAGTATTATAGTTTTCGTAGTTCTCTCCTGTTTATCGTCGTTGGGGTAGTAGAATTTGCCAGATATCCTGGTGGACAGGTGTTGAATCATTCATATTACACATATTCTCCCTCAGTTGATTCGATAAACAAAGCTTCTGTTATCAATCTCTCCCTCCACTCTGCCACATTAGATTTTGAAACTGTCATCTTATCCCATCCAGCCCATTGTATACTTGTGTGTGTTTGCATGTAGTGAGTGCTATCTACGGCTGAACTATTCTCTAGATTTCTTATTTTATTCGGGTTAACTAATCTAGATTTTGCTAGGTTTTTATGCTCGGATAGTCTGACTGCCCCTGCTCTACTAGTTTGACCTATGTATTTGACTTGACAATGATTGCAGACAGGGTATTAGATAAACTAAATTGTTTTGTTTTAAAGGCTCCACAGGATTGATCCTTTAACCGACAAAGCTTGTTTCTAATTGAGTTTGTGGTTGGTTTGAATGCCAGTCACTTTTATTCCTGCCTGCCTTGTTAAGAATTCTGCGTAAGGTTTCCGAGGTTCCTTTCTTGTATGGAATTACTACTGATGATTTAGATTCCTTATTGTTGGTGTTGTCGTTATCTTGCGCCTGTTCGACATGCATGTCGTCATTAATATTACTATCATTATTATTAATATTATTATCATTATAATATAGTGATATATATATATATATATAATGTATATTATACTATCATTATATTATTATTACATTATATATATATTATATATATGCAATAGGATGGGATAGGATGACAGTTTTAAAATCTAATGTCACAGGGTGGAGATTGATAACAGAAACTTTGTTTATCGAATCAACTGCAAATACGTGTAACAAAAATGATTCAACACCTGTCCACCAGGATATCTGGCAAATTCTACTACCCCAACGACGACAAATAGGAGAGAACAAAGAAAACTATAAAACTCAAGTTTCGAAGTCGTGTGATTATAATTGATGGCATGATTATGAACAATAATCGATTTTGTTTGAAACCTTGTCATCCAGTATGCAATAATACTGTTTCACTGACTGTGGGATACATCTAATAAACAAACTTATAGGGTCATCAAATGACCTACTAGAAATCGACTTATTTAGGCCTTTTTTCGAACTACTGCAACCGTATAATTCTTGCAGTTGACCATTTTTCCAGTTAAAATGTGGACATCGTTGTTTTTGTTGTAATCCTTCTTTTAATCTTTTGTGAACTTTTCTTTTTTGTTGTTAAATTAAATATACAGATTCAAATAACAAGTATAATTGAAAGAACTGTTGCTGTTCAATGAGTTTGCGTAAAATATTTCCACATTTCGCACGGTCTTATCAGGTATGTTTATTCTTCATGAGAAAAAAGAATATATATATATACATATACACCTATATACAGGATGCCTTAAATGAATTGAATAAATCTATTAAATCATCAAATCATTATTTAATCTGTTCAAATCAAAAGTTTCTAAGACAGCAAAGACATGGGCTATCTTCAATATATTGTTATGCTATGGGAATAGAAGTATGTCATGGAATTTTAAAAGTAGTCGTAGTGTTTTATCCTTTAGGATTGTCATTTCAATGATTTACGTGTTATACACGTTACAGGATCTAAAGGAAAAGGTTCAGTGTGTTCAATGATTGAAAATGTTTTACGCCAGTCTGGACTACGTACAGGTTTTTTAAGGTTAGTGATGGTTTAATATATCTACAGTATAATAAATGTCTATGTGTTTTTTTTAAAGTGAATTTCAAATGTAAGATGATCAGTCTACAGGACTGAACTACACTGACTCCTAGTTTAGAAATAGGGAGTGAAGTGGTATAGAGCACGTTGACTGCTTCACTTATTTGGGAAGTACCATCAGCCCCAACAGGTTGATCTCTGACGAAATCTCAGCACGTATACAGAGGGCTAGTTTCGCAGATGCCAGTTTACGCCATCTGTCGCTAAGTAGATGTGATATCCGGCTGGCTGTCAACCAAAGGGCGTGTGTACTGCTCACCGGTTCACTCCGTTCTCATTTATGCCTCTGAGTGAGACATGGCCATTAAGAGTGGAAGACATCCAAAGGCTGGATAGCTGTCTTCGATCATAGGTGTCTGCGTTCTATCTCCCGTGTTCAGTGGTCGGTGTAATAGGGTGAGCAATATTGAGGTTAGGTGTCGAGTGCTAGGTAAGTAGGGAGGGTAAAACAATCGATGGGGTTATGAAGTTACACCGATTGAGATGGTTACGACATGTGTAGTGCATGCATCCGTAGCCATCGCCTTCCTCGACGGGCAATGTTAGCTGACATAGGGTCACGCTGGAAAAGAGCTAACGGCGGTCAAACCAAAACATGTCACTAGTCAATGAAATCCACCAGCCACATAGGGAGGTGTTAGGGTCCTCGGGACGGTTAAAAGCAATGGTTGGAAACAATTGGTGACATGGCTCAAAATCGTTCTCAGTGGCTGGCGCAGATGCATCCACTCCTTGTGACTCATGATTTCCAATGAAACTGTTTTGTTCTCCGTTATTACTATTCCTTTGTCTCACACCTCTGTTTACTGTCTATATTACGCACTTCTTCTGTTGCTTTGTATGCTACGTGGAGTGTGGTGATTTGAACTGCTGCGCATCGATGCAAAGTTTTATGTTGAAACCAGTCAGTCAGTCATATTTTATATTATTGTTGTTCCCTACGTTTCTGAATGGGACATAGGTCCTGAATGGCATATCACTATTTTACTATTTTCTCTGCAGTCCCCTTCAGCTGGTCCCACGATTGGCCATAAGCTTTCACCCCCCTCCCCTCACACGATCTCCTTCATTTCACCCTTGGACGCCCCACTTAGCGTTTACTATCCGGTTTCCACTTGAGCAATGGCCTAGCGCCTGATGTCACCCGACAGTCTCGTCAGTGTGTGTCCGATTCATCTTCATTTTCTTTCGGGATATTTTTTTTAAGCAATAGGTTGGTTCTCGGTTGGTTCTTCCTTCTTTCTGACCCGCCATTTAATCTTCAATATGCTCCTAAAACAGGCTGTTCGAAATGCATTTCGTCACAAGATGGTAAAGTTTCTTGCTCACATAGGAGAAATATTATAATATTAGTGTTGAAAATTCGAATTTCATTCTTTGGAATGCCAAGTGCAGTTGATTTCCTTCATTAGTTGCAGTTAATTATACATTAGCTGAAAGTATTATGACACAAAGGAATGACAAATATGAAAATATACTTTCGAATTCAGTAAATTTATCGTGACTGACTCACAGGCTCATGTACTGACGCTTTAGCGAATATGTCTATCTGTTTTCGACATAGAACTTTGCACTGATGTGTAGCAGTTCAAGTCGCCAAACTCCATGTAGCACACAAAGCAAGACAAGAAAGTAGAATAAGTGCTAAATAGAGACAGTAGACAGAGATATGAGACAAAAATAATAGTAATATCGAAGATCAATATAGTTTCATTGGGTATTATAAGTCACAGGGAGTGGATGCATCTGCGCCTGCCATTGAGAACGATTTTGAGCCATATCACCGATTGTATCCAGCCTTCATCGGTTTTTACCGTCCTAAGGACTCTAACCAGCAGGCCAGTCCACACCTTCCTACTTGACTGACTTAAAGTAACTGCTGTGGATTTCACTGACTGATGAAGCCATGTTTTAGGTTGACCGCCATTAACTCTTTTCCAGGTGCGTCGGTGGTATAGCGGTTAGGGCGCTCGCCGACCATGCATATGGTCCGGGGTTCGATCCCCGGTCGACGCACTCCTTTACTTCGCTGAGCCAGAAATAATGCTGGTAAAGAGGAAAGGTTGGGTATGAGGCTAGCAACCCCATCCTGTAAAATAAACACTGCTACAGAAACTTCAAGCTAGATGCTTGAAGCCCTATGTTCCACTGGGGAACGTGAAGGAAAAAAAACTTTTCAAGCCTGACCCTATGTCAGCTAACATTCCCCATCGTCGAGGAAGGCGATGGCTAGGCATACGCAGCACATGTCCTAACCATCTCAGTCGAAGTAATTTCACAGCCTCGTCGATTGATTTCCCCTCCCTCCTTACCTAGCACTCGACGCCTAACCTCAATATTGCTCACTTCATTATACCACTTCACACGGGAGATAGAACGCAAACACCTATGATCAAATACAGCTAGCCTTTTCGTGTCTTCTGCTCTCAATGGCCATGTTTCACTCAGAGGCATAAATGAGAACGGAGTGAACCGGTGAGCAGTACACACGCCCTTTGGTTGACAGCCAGCCGGATATCACATCTACTTAGCGACAGATGGCGTGAGATGGCTTATGTGAAACGAGCCTTCTGTGTCCGTGTTGAGATTTCGTCAGCGGTCAACCTGTTGGGGCTGATGGTACTTCCCAAATAAGTGAAACGGTCAACGTGCTCTGTACCACTTCACTCCTTATTTCTAAACTAGGAGTCAGTGTAGTCCAGTCCTGCAGACGGAAGCGAATCGCATACCAAACATTCGCAAATCGCAACTGAAGGTGTACAGAAGACTCTGCATTTTGTGTCATTGCGATGTGCAAGCCCGAACACCATGTTGAGGTAGCTGCTATCGGTCAGGTTTAGCGAATATATATATATATATATATATATGTAAATATATATTATATATAGGTATCTTACATATGCTACTAACAAAATTTATTCAGCACTCATGAAATGTATTCATCACTGAGTAGTTGTCATTCGTCTTTTTCTCATAGCTCTCCTCATCTTGTAAATATCGAAGAAAGAATACGAATTAACGGAAAGCCTATATCTCGTGATCATTTTGCAAGTGTGTTTTGGAATGTACATGATACACTTAAAGAATTCACGGTAAGTGTCAGTATTGGTTATCACTCCCATGCAATCAAGTAAGTCAGACAAATCCGGTTTTGCATTCCATCAATAGCTGACATCGGTTAGAGAACCATTGAAAAACCTGCAGGGAATACTAGACAACTATTTCGTCTCATTACAGGGAGTTCCAACCCAGGACCTTGAGGTTGCAAGGTCAACTTGTAGATCATTAAGCCTCTGAGACTCGACCCTATCCGATGGTCACCCCATGCATTCCAGCTTCTGTCAACTCACAATTTACCGCGACTGGAACTAGTCAGTGTCCTCTCTGGCGAGTATTTGTCCTCACACTCCACATGCTGTGCCACACTAGTCATGGCTTCTCACTAGAACCCAGGTAACCACTTATCTGAATAGGTCCAGTTGCTAGCGAGCATCAAATTGATATTCGAGTGTTGGTGTGCGCATTCTCTCTTCAAGACTTATCTGTTCGATTTATCTATTATCACCTTAAAGCTGATATCATGATTGGAACATGAACTCGAATTGGCAGAATTTGGAATTCATGAGCTGGCCATTGTATCGGATAAAGTCTCAGTGGCCGAATGCTCTACGAGCTCGCCGCCTTGTAACTGGAAGGTCCTAGGTTCGAACCCTGTCAGTGAGTGAGCACTGTTGAAGTAAAGTTGTAAACTAGGCTGACGAAACAGCAGTTGTCCAGTACTCTGGTGGTGGTTTTCCAATAATTCTCTAACCGATGTCAGCTCATGAAACCAATCGTGTAACCAATCAAATCAAATCAAATCCGTGCAAACCAATACTTGAAAATCCGTTTTCATTGTGTCAGTAAAACTCCTGCTGCATAATTCTTGTTCTACTTCTCTATCTACTAATGCAGAATCTGTTTTACGGAAATTTTTTCCATGAAATATCGAGTTAACTGGTATTATTGGTGGATAGTGAGTAGCATTGGAATCCAGGGTGCGCATTTCGTCCTATTCGGGATTCGTCATCTGGATGTGTCTGCATTCCCAAGTGAGTGATGGTGTTCCCACCGAGGCTAGAACCCAGCGCCCATACTTTCAAACGGCAAAGTCTTATCCATTAGACCACTTGGGCCACGAGAGTCACCTCTTGTGCAACGGATCATACTAATTATTTAATTCAGTTTTAGATTTTCCCATCGATTGAGTGGACCGAAGTGCTCGGTCTCATGTTGACATATCGGCTTCTTGTACAGATGCTTCGACGATGTCTGGGCATGTAATTAGAAGTTAATTGGTGGATGGTGACTAGCAGTAGAATCCAGGGTGCGTTTTTTGTCCCATTTGGTATTCGTTAGCTGGATATGTCTGCACCGAGGCTCGAATTAAATACCCCCTTTAGTTCCTATAAATCTTGTTAAGCTTTTTTTTCTTTTGAAAATCTAAATTCCTATTTGATTAATTTTTTTTTAGAAAAATTCACCTGATACACCAGTACCATCGTTTCTTCATTATATTTTCGTAATGGCATGTAAAGCATTTATTGATGAAAAAGTGAGTTGTTGTTAACGTATACTAGAATAAGATTATAGTCTAGCAACAGAAGACAAGGATCAGGCAACAGAGCGTTTATTAAGGAAATCAACACCTAATAAACAAACTAATATGAAATCAACACGTATTTATAGCTTTAGATTATTGTAAGCAAACAAACACAGTCTTCTGATTGGTGGTTTCTCGCTGAAAGTTAATCTTTCATCTCTTTGTGGCCGTTTCTTGAAGTTCAGATTATCTATTAGCAAATTGTATCCGCCTATGCAAAGTCTGCTGTGACTGGTTGTTTAATTAGTCTTTGTTCTTATTTTTCTCATGACCAATATTGGGGACGTAAACATTGACGTAAATTACTGTCTACCAATTTTGGTCATGAGAAAAATAAGAACAAAGACTGACTCAACAACCAATCACAGCAGACTTTGCATAGGCGGATACAATTTGCTAATAGATAATCTGAACTTCAAAAAACGGTCACAAAGAGATGAAAGATTAACTTTCAGCGTGAAACAACCAATCAGAAGACTGTGTTTGTTTGCTTACAATAATCTATAATAATGTACATGAAAATATATAAATATCTGTTGATTTCCTTAATGAACGATCTGTTGCCTGGCCCTTGTCTTAATATAATAATAATAATAGTAGTAGTATGAAATGCAATTAAATATTTGTGATTATAATCAACCGGCAAAACATTTAATGTCGCATATAGAATAAATCATAGGTTGTAAATATGTTGGAAAGGGATGTATAATTATAGGGTTAGTAGGCTAATATAAAACGTCGTTACATAACATGGTGTGAAGTTTGATAAGATAGAATTCAACACTGTAAAACAGTCAAGGGAGAAGTAGAGATTGTACATACTTCTAACGTACACAAAAGCCTGTATTTAGAAATTTGTAACGAGAATGAAACGCGTCAAGTTATTTTTTTAAATTTTGATTTACAGCTTGATTCCACACCGTATTTTCAGTACAAGTGTGGAATTTTCAGCATGGATATCGGTAGCCCAAATTCAGGCCGACCATAGATATCGGGTGTGCGTCGGCAGGGGATCGAACCCCGGACCATGTGCATGGTCGGCGAGAGTCCTAACCACTGTGCCACCGACGCACAGCATGAATTCGATAGATGATGATCTTAAAGTTATGGTCAGGGTTGATAGAGAGCGACAGGAATCGATGAAATGTTCTAGAATACACCTTAACACACCCTTCGTTTGTCTTTTGTAAAATCATGCTGTTGGAATATGTTCTCGTATCCATCTGTGAAAAGCCTTCTCTGACTACAGCCAACGTAGCTTGCTCCATAAGGTCTAACTCAATTGTCAATTGACAAATCACAACCTCGAAACCAGTACCAGTTAAGCCGAATTCCACCATTTCATAACTACCATTTTTATATAAAGTCTGTTTAATAATGCTAATTTTGAAATGGGAACCCCTTTTTAAGCAAAATCGAAGTAGTTTGAGAAATTGGAGTTGAGAATCTTGGTGTAGTATTAGATTTTATCTCTTGAATATGTATTAAAAATTCAAAGGTAAGACTATTGTGATCTCATCGAATATTAAGTGGTTAGTGGCGATCGACAGAAAGCCTTGTTTCGTCTAGGTTTCGTCCTAGTTGACACTCTTCAGTCAGCAAGGCGTATCTGCAACCTTGAAGGGAGGAAGTCATGTCCCGTGTCGTCATCCAGTGCTTCAGTCAGAGACAATATTACCATTGATTTATTCGGGCTTTCAACTGACCTCCTGTAGGACTGTATTGATGGACACACTGTTTAGTAACTAGTGTTAACTTGACTGGCAGAATTCACTGTGCACCAGACAAAGGACTAGAAACATTACACTAGTTACTAAATAGTTTCCAATCAAGTGGTAAATTTTTTCATTCATTTTACGTTCCCAGTGGAACATAGAGCTTCAAGCTAGACGCTTGGTGAGGTAAAGGAGGAGTTCGTCGGTTGCCGGGGATCGAACCCCGGACCACATGTGTGCATGGTCGGCGAGCATTCTACCGCTGTACCACCGACGCACTTAATGAATTGATGTAAATAATTAAAAGTTTGAAGAAATCAATATTTGCGTTGGGTAAGAGGTGGTGAGACAACCAACAAATTTTCTTTTCATTCGTATAACTATTTTTGCAATGTAGTTGAGGGGGGAGTAGCAACACATAAACAGTAGTGAAGCATTCAAATTACTCAGGGACAACTCTTCCTTAATTACATTTCCATGCCATATAAATGTTTGCTACCGGTTGGATGATTTCCATAGTTTTTAAAATGCAGAAGAGTGGAGGATATATGGATATCGCGGGTTCGAGTACCGCCTACCCCCTCCGGCACCCTACTTTAGCTTAGGCAGCTGAATAATATATATCGTGAGTGTAGCCCATAGTTTCATTAGCGAAAAAAAATCACCCCGGATAACGGAACTAACTATTTGCTACTTTAATGTCTTGGCTTTTTATATATAGGTGGATGTTGGCATTTTTGAAGTTGGTATTGGTGGGCGGTATGATCATACGAATGTATTTAAGTGAGTTGAATGAATACTGAGTATAAAATGTGTTATTTTCAATTGTATTTCTTTATTGGAACGTTTCAGTTTTTAAATATATATTGTTGATGAAATTGACTAACTGGTAGTGAAGTGATCGATTAATTGTACTACTACTATGTCCGTAATTTGTGCATGAGAAAGACAACTAATCCATAACACAACTGACCCGTAGTAGTTCAGTTCGTGGTTCGCATTAGCTAACAGCTTTATCTGATATCCTTAAAAAATTGCTGGTCTTGTGCATTTTCTTAATAGTCAAGTAATATATTAGTCAGTTATTATAGTTATGTTTTTTTATTAATTCCTTCACGTCCCCGGTGGAACATAGGGGGCTTCAATCTAGAGGCTCGAAGTTCCTGTAGCAGTGGTGTTTATTTTTACAGGGTGGGATTGCTAACGTCATGCCCTACCTTTCCTCTTTACCAGCTTTTTTTTTATTACTGGCGTACCGAGGTAAAGGAGTGCGTCTGTGGCCGGGGATCGAACTCCGGACCACATGTGCATGGTCGGCGAGCGTTCTAACCTCTGTGCCACCGACGCACAATGTAGTTATGTGTTACACACTTATTTTTCTATGTGTTCGACTAAATAAACTTGTTATGTAATCAGTTGAGATATATCAGCGACAAACAACCTCTTATATCATCTGCTCAACAAGTCTGCAATAGTCGACGAATTTTACAGGTTTGATCACGAGATGACATCATTTAGAGAATCACTGGAAAGCCAGCACTGGAGCACTGGTCAGCTGTTTCGTTCTAGTTTGGGAATCCTCATCAATACGCATCTACTGGAACCCAAATCAATGGCCCATGAACTCCACCTTCGTCCGATTCGTGACCGTTTTCTTATCAGAATTTGGAATTCGTTGGTCATTGGATCAGGTCCAAATAGTTGAATAATCTACGCGCTCACCTGATAACCGAAAGGTCCTGGGTTCGAACTCCGACTGGTGCATACTACTGAAATGTCCCAAACTAGTCTGACAAAACAGCAGCTGTCCGTTACCCCAGTGCTGATGTTCCCAATAGTCCTCTAGTCGGTGTGAACTTGTGATCAAACATTATAACCAATGAAATCCTTGCAAACCAAAACTTGATGATTAGTTTAATCCCCCAAAACAACATAAATCATAGCCTCCAGGTATTTGATATACATGTTTTTAAAAAAAATTCGATTGATTACGTATCGTCGTATTTTTAAGTATTATCATGAAACTGAATTTACTGACCTATTCACCTGCTTTATTGTGCTCGACTGTTGCTTCCCAGTAGTACTCACCCACCAACAAGGTTAGAACCCAGGACATTCCAGTTATGAAGCGAGCCCCTAGATCATTCAGCCACTGGTATCCGATCCAACGGTTCAACTGACCGACTGACTGACTGGTTTCAACATAGAACTTTGCAGTAGTTCGAGTTGCTACACGCTATGCAGCACATAAAGCCAGAGAAAAGAGTAGAGAGACAGATTCAAAACAGAGATAATAAACAGCAATATGAGTCAAAGCGAATAGTAATATGGAAGAACAATAGAATTTTATTGAATATTATAGATCACAAGAAGTGGATGTATCTGCGCCAACCACTGAGAACGATTTTCAGCCATATCAACAATTTTCTCCAGCTATTGGCTCTCACCATCCCGAAGACCCCTACCAGGAATCCACTCTACACATCTCTAAGTGACTGGCTTCAGCTAACTGTTATGGATTTCATGAACTGATGAGACTATGTTATGGTTTGACCATCATTAACTAGCTCTTTTCCAACCTGATCCATTTTATGTCAATCAGCTAACATTGCCCATCGTAGAGTAAGGGGACGGCTAAACATGCATGCACTACACATGTCCCAACCATCTCAATCGGTGTAACTTCACAACCCCATCGATTGACTTTGCCTCCCTACTTACCTAGGACTCGACCGATGCCCAACCTCAATATTGATCACCCTATTACACTGACCACTTCACATGGGAGATAAAACGTAGACACCTATGATGAAAGACAGCTAGCCAGCCTTTTCTCGTCTTTCACTTTAAATGGCTATGTCTCGCTCACAGTCAGCTACAAATGATGTCAGAGCGAAGTGCTGCTGAGCAGTACACACGTCCTTTGATAGATAGCCATCTGGATATCACTTTTACTGTGTGCGTCGGTGGCATAGCGGTTAGGACGCTCTCCGACCATGAACATGGTCTGGCGTTCGGTCCCCGGCCGGCGCACTCCTTTACCTCGCTAAGCCAGAAATAATGCTGGTGAAGAGGAAAGGTTGGGTACGAGGCTAGCGACCCCATCCTGTAAAAATAAACACTGCTGCCGAAACTTCAAGCCTCTAGCTTGAAGCCCCCTATGTTCCACTGGGAACGTGACGGAATAAAAATAAAAAAATATCACTTTTACTAAGCCAGAGATGACATAAGTTGGTTCAACACTTGACGATGTAATTGTGTTTGCTTCTTCTTTCGGGGGGGGGGGTGGAGATAAGTGAAAAGCAGCTAAACGAGAAGCATTCACCGAATAAACGTGTCTCTCTGTATGCTGATTATCTCGCGCCTTCTCTTAGCTGTCTGTATTAAATGAAAATAATTCATCACTTACAGAGATAAAAAAATAAGCTATGCACTTTGTATAAAACCTGTGCTTACAACCTGATTGATAGCCATAAGCCGTACAGTGAATAAAGCTGATTTGAGATTTTCAGATCACTAGTTGACCTACTTCAACTAATTGTACTGTGCGTCGGTGGTACAGCGGTAAAATGCGCACCAACCACGCATGTGGTCTATAACGAGAAGACAGGGATATCCTGGACCCACGTGAAGAATCTAGAAGACCTGGATTTCAGATGTGGATGATTTATGTTTGATGTCACACAAAATCGAAGACTTACAAGCGAAAACCGACAAATTGGTCGAAGAAGCAGCAAAGACAGGACTCCAAGTGAACATAGACAAGACGGAGGCTATGAAAATAACCAACCAACCAACAACAACAACAGCATCAGCAACATCCAGCGCCAATCACCATCAACGGGAGGGATTTGAAAGAGGTTACTTCATTCACTCACTTATCTAGGGAGCATTGTCTCAACTACAGGAGGAACGGACGAGGATGTCAAATCGAGCGAGAATCGGGAAGGCGAGAAACACATTCATCAACCTGAAACCAATCTGGAAATCTTCGTTACTCAGCCTGCATCAACAACAAAATTCCGATTTTCAATATAAACGTCAAGTCAGTCAGTTCTTCTGTACGGATCAGAAACTTCGCGGATCACCAAGAATATTTCCAACAGCCTGTTGCAGACCTTTATCAACAACTAACTGTCTTCGCTCTATACTGAAGATCAGATGGCCCCTGGAAAGAATCACCAACAAGAAACTATGGGAACAAAGAAAACAAGAACCAACCACCTAACAAATATGCAGGAGAAAGTGGAGATGGATTGGACACTCGCTGAGGAGGCCGCTGGGTGACATCGCGCGTCAGGCTAGTGCTCGAGTGGAACCCGAAAGGGAAGTGGCGAGTGGGACGTCCAAGGGTGACATGGAGGAGATCGTGTGAAGAGGAGCTGAAACAGTATGGAATAATACGGATGCAGGTGAAAAGTACAGCAGAAGACAGAAGCAAGTGGAGACGTGTAGTTGAAGCCCTATGTTCCACTAGGAACCCAAGGGAACAATAATAATAATAATTAATTGTAGTTCTGTTTATGTTACCATACCTACACTAAGTTTGTAAACTGGGGCTGGGGCTGTTTGGTTAATGGTTAGTCAATAGTCTATGGTGTGTGTGTAAGTAAGTAAACGTCTATTAGTCGAATTCACCATGACTGTAATGCAAAGTCTGCACAACATATTGTGAAGTGTTCCACTTATAAATAGGCATAAGTAGTGTGTGTGGAGTAACGCTTTCTGAGAAGACTTGAACAAGCGACGGACAACGAGTAATCAACATGCCTAATACAGAAAGGATTATATTATTTACAAATAGTGAAAACAATGCAAGGCCCATTGCTTTTCTAATAAACACTAGATCTACTTTCACCTGACGTAGATAAATCTTTGCGTGCTTTTAGAAGTGTGTAGGTGTGTTACGTGACCTCAGAGCCCAAGGAATAAATTATTGAGATCCGTCACATATGGGTCGTTTGAATTGGTTTTCGGAGTTGTATTCGTTTTTAGAACCTACCGCCGGTGACGGATTGTTGCAAGGTGGTGGTGAATCAGGATGTACAATTTTCAGGGTGGACCCTTTTTTGTCCTCTGTTTTTCGGAGAGGAGATATAGCGCAGCTGGGCATGGTTGGTCATCTCAGGGAAACACCTTACTGCTGTTGCATCCCTATTTCCCAGCAGTACGACTTTGCCTTTAGACACCCTTAACGACTTACACTATGACAGTAACTGCTATCCGAGCAGTCTTCTTGGTAGTGTGGAACCTGCAGAAACATCAGTTTCCAACTAACACTGGTGTGGCTCGTTGGGTCATTGCTTGACTATCACATTAAGGTAGGTAGCAGATATCAGTTGTGGTGTCTACTCTCACCATATATCATATCTTAGTGCTTTGACTGTATTTTTTTGCTTTTTCTTGGGTTTGTTTGTTTCATATTTTGGTGAAATGTTAGGCAACCTTATGTAACTGTTGTGACAAGTTTGACGCTAGAGCATACTGATATTCTGGGTGATACTCTTTCTGAGATAGCATGGAGAAAAGCTGGGATTTTCAAGGTATGTTTCTTTGTCTCTTTTATTTTCTTCACTGATGTGAATTATTTTTATGATTTTTGCATATCTTGTTAATTGACCTTTTTCTCTATCTCTCTCTCTGGAAGAACGAATTAATAAAATTATCGTGTAGTTTGGTTTGCTTTGGTAGTAGAAAGTAGAAAGCGCATAAAAATGAACATAGGGCTTCAGCCGAACGTCTCCATTGCGTTCGGTTCTCTGACAACGTTTTCATTTGGCTCTACGTCTGCCCGCATGCTTTCATCTCCTTTTCGAATCACCACCTCCTCCATGTCACTCTCGCACTGACGAACACCTCGTCACTTCCCATTTGGGTTCCATTCGAGTGACGGCCTGCACTGCGTGTGATGTCACTTGATGGTGGTTTGTTTTCTCAGAGTATGGCCAGCCAATCCACTTCCATTTCTTCCTGCACATTTGTTGCACAATCGGTTCCTGCTGGATTGGTTCGCTCATTGCAATAGATCCCTCACCATTGCTGATATTTTCTAACCGGCCATTTGATCTTGAGCGAAGTATTAAGCGAAGACAGCTGTTGATGAAGGTGTGTAGTTTGTTTGACGTGGCGTTCGTGACGCGGTGCCAAGTCTGGGATCCGTATAGTGTAGTGTAACAACAGAAGACAAGGGCCAGGCAACAGATCGCTTATCTAGGAAATCAACACATATTTATTATATATTTTCATGTACATTATTATAGATTATTTTAAGCAAACAAACACAGTCTCCTGACTGGTGATTTCTCGCTGAACGTTAATCTTTCATCTCTTTGTGGCCGTTTCTTGAAGTTCAGATTACCTATCTGCAAATTGTATCCGCCTATGCAAAGTCTGCTGTGATTGGTTGTTGAGTCAGTCTTTGTTCTTATTTTTCTCATGACCAATATTGAGGACGTCAATATTGACGTAAATTACTGTCTATCAATTTTGGCTAGGAGCCAGCTCTCATCACAATAGCACTGACTTCACATTGGAGTTGAAAATCTGGATCTTATTTTTCATGCTTAACAGTGCTGTTGACCTCCACACAGACTTGAGTGCAATGAAAGCTTGCCTTGTTTCCTCTATCCTCGCTTTGATATCCTCGTCAGTTCTGTCCATCTGTAGTTGAAACGATGCTTCCCAGGTAGGTGAAGGAGGTTGTTTCTTTCAGATTCCTCGCACTTATGCTGACTGATTGTTGTCTGTTGTTGTTGCTGATGCTATCAGTTTTGACCAGGAATCTTCATCACCTCTGTTTTTTCTCTATGTTCACCTGAAGGAAGTCCTTTCTTCTCTGGATGCTTCTTCTTCCAACTTGTTGCTTTTCACTTGCATAACTGAAAGATATCGTAATTCTAGGGATCTATAATAGTAATATGAATAATAATAACAACAGTAATAATAATAATACTAATAATACTTCTACTACTAATGATAATAATATTAATGCCAATAATACTACTACAGATAATAATAGCAGTTTTACTAATACGAACCCTTCTAATAATACTAACAATAATAATAATTATTATTGTTCCCTTGGGTTCCTAGTGGAACATAGGGTTTCAACTGCACGTCTCCACTTCCTTCTGTCTTCTGCTGTATTTTTCACCTTGATATGATTATGAGCAATAAATTGTGCTCGAAACGTCATCAGTAAACATTACTGTATGACACTGTGAGACTTTATCAACACAAATTTACCCATAATGGAATTACACTCTACCACAGTGCACAAGTTTTATTCTTATATCAGTCCGGTCATATATCTGTGAATCGTATTTGGACACGTTAATTCCGCTGTGATTGGTTGGTGGGTTCCTCAAAGTTGTAGGTTTTGTTCTTGTTATTGTTATCTCTCTCGTGACCCTGATTGGAGACGCAAACATTGACGTAAGTTGGTGTCTGCAATTTCGGCTAGCAGACTGACAGCTTACACCACAAATTGACTTCGTCATGTAGGGAAAAAGAATAGCGCTGGTTGAGGAACTCCAGCTAGAGTAAGTGAGGCAAGCAGTGGATGACTTTCCATTGTAAGGAGCGTACTGTTTTCTATCAGAAACATAAAAAAGGAATGCAACCACTTATTAGTCCAGGCCTGTGCTTGTGTCACAGCAAGTCCTAGGTATAGAGTCAAAGGGAAATGTGTGATCTCTAGGGAAGGTACACCGAACATATCTGACACTTTTTATCTGTTCTAGAGACAATATAATAATATAAGACGACAATGCCTTCTACGGTACACCTACTATGTTGTTTATAAACAAATTGATTAGGGTCGTTGAAAGCCTACAAACAAGGGAGATTCAAGGTTGAGTAAAAGCAGTCTTTCCATTATTTGTCTATTATCGCTATTATACTGCTATCCTTATTATCATTATCATTGTCACGACTATAATAATCATAATTACCAGAATTCCTTTGTTTCTGTATTTTTATCACATTCATCTAAGCACAGCACGGTTCCAGTGCAGTAATTGGTCATGACCAGTCGGAGGAGGCGATGAATGTATTTGTCAAAGAAGCTGAACAAGTAGGAGTAAGTGTTAGATATTTTGTAGTTGCCCTGTAAAACTCATTTCTTTGTGATAAAGTATAATTCCATTAGAGAATAATTTGTTGTGTGACGTGGGGTCATACAGTATTATTTACTTACTTGATGATGTTTTGTTCTCTTCACACACACACGATCATGTGTGAGGTTCAGTCAATTCAGGAACAGCACATCATTTCCTTAAGCATGTGCGTGTCATTTCCCAACTTTTCTCAGTTATAAAAAAATTACATTACGGACACGTCGGTGGTACATCGGTAGAATGCTGGTCAAGCACACATATGGCTTGGGGTTCGATCCCCGGCCGACTCACTCATTTACCTCGCTAGGAGGCCGACAGTAGGACCGGTTAACAGGGAAGGTTGAACATGAGGCTATCAGCCGCATCCTATAAAAACAAGCACCACTGCTACTGGAACAAAGTCAAAAAATAATTACAAGGGGGAGGGTGAAAATCGCTTTTTTTAAAAAAAAACTCTAAACATATTATGTAGCTGACCATGGCTGTACAAATTCTTTTTTGGAAAACACAGATTTGGCTTCCTCAGATGAATTCCGATTGCCTCTCCTCTATGTAAAACTCGTACTCGTAGATCATGCGAGAGGTTGGGTAATAAAAGATAAATAACTTTCAAAACTTTGTTAGAGTCGACTTGATGTTCAGTCAGTATTGGCGAAACGAGCTAGTATTGAGCAGTGTATAGCCAGCTTTATTCGGACGTTTGCTAAACCAATATGGGAGGTATCCAGAAGTTCGACGATGGACTTGGCTCATCGTATATATATTACAATACTTAATAACAACCATTAGGAAAAGCATTCTCTGCCGTCACTTTACGAATAACCTGCTCTAGCCGTCCCCTATAATAGCTTAATGCTAAGGAAATGTAACCTTGGCTGTCTAATTCCATGTATATTAATATGTTCACCTGCTGCTCTTGAGGAGCTAGGTCCACAGGACTTTGGTCGAGAAACTTATCCCACCGCGTTTAACAGTACCTCTCGCAGCTTGGTTGAACAAAGGAGAGGAGTGTAGAAGTATTGATTCATCGATGTTGCAACATATTGTAGATACTGACCATGTAGCATCTGATAACACTGTGTAAGTTCGGAGCATTAATATAAGAATAGAACTTCTTGTGCACTGTGGTAGAGTATAATTCCATTATGGGTAAAATTTATTTTGATTAAATTTCACAGTGTTATGCAGTAATATTTATTGATGACTGGATTTTGAGCACAATTTATTGTTGCTCATAATCATATCAAGGTACTCACACAACTTTCTAACTTCTTTTATATAATTGCATCATTATTTTCCATCGCTAGACTTGATTGGTAGTGGTACTTTCCATATCTCGGGTAGTGGTGATGAGTCATTCCTATTGTACGTATTGGGTGTAGACTCAATGGACCAGATAGGATTCAGTAATCAACCTCTCTCTCTATCTCTATCTCAACCTACCTATATTACTTCTTGGAATTTTAACCCTCTCCCACCCTATTGTGTGGTTGTGTGTTAATGCATGCAGTGCAATCGCCGAGCTTACTTATCTTCTCGGGGTTAACCATTCTTACCTTAGCTAAATTCTTATGTTCCGACATTCTGACTACCCTCGACCTAGTAGTTTCACCTATGTAGTTAACTTAATTCACAGTCATTGCAGGGTATTTTGTAAATTATATTATTTTGTCTAATTGGGTCAACCGACTGGGTCCTTTAATCTGCGGAGCTTGTTCTACCTGAGTCAGTTTGTAGGTTTAAATGCCACTTTAATTCCTGCTTTATTGAGAATCCCACATGGGGTCCCAAATGTCTCTTCCTGTTATGGTAAAACTGTAGATGTCTTATATTCTTTCCTATATATGTTATCACGATTAGTTTCACCATTATTTTTATTTTGCTTTTGAGCTTTTCTGATCTTTTTAATGAATCTTATAGGATGGTTATTTAACACCAACGCTTCTTCTATGTGTTTCATTTCATCGTTTAAGTTTTTTGTTGCACTACTTAGTGCTACTGATCGGTTTGTTAGACACGCTTAACTATACCTGCCTTTACAGACAACGATCGGATGAGATGAATTAAAATCTTAGTATCTATTAGAATGCGTTGGCTTTTTATACACGTTGGTGTGCAGTTTACCTTCTTCTATTCGTTTTATTTTACAATCTAACATCATGGCTATTTCTCCTTGTTCATTCTCCGATTCAAATGTGAATTTTTTTACCTTTACTAGTGAGTTTAAATGTGTGAGGAAACTGGAGGGATGTTCTGCTTTTAACACACCGTGAAAGTGTCATCCACAAATCTCCAGCATATTTTTGGAGTAAAAATAAATAAATGTATTTTGAGCGATATTCTCTCAGCTGTCCATAAAGATGTCTACTACGATAGGGGATATTCATGATCCATTCCATTGCTACACCTTCGCTTTGTCTATATATTTTGCCTTAAAATTTAAAGATAGTAGATGTGAGACAGCATAACTGAATTCATAAAGTGTAATTTCCTCAATGGACAGCTTCGTCTTATGAATCAGTTCAGGAGCAGTTCACTGAATCAATAAATTCTACTCATAAAATGGAATTCAGTTTGAACCAGTTCACCGAACTCAGGAGACGTTGGAATTATTACTTAATTTCAATTTCCCTGAGATTTTACAAAAATGATATTTACATTTCATTTGATATATATTCTACGTACGAAGTTGGACAAAGTTTACCGAAAGGCAAACGAGTGCATCTGCTTTATACATTAGGGACCTTAGCAACGCATAACATAAAGCCAGAACTTTGCTTACCATGTTCTGGATTGTGCGTGGTCTCTGATGTACCGTATTTGTATAGCATTGTGACTGTTTTTTGTTTTACCGTCCTTTACCCTGTCATTTTCTTTTCTTATCCTCTTTCTTATTTTTCTTCATCTTTAATATACATATTTTTTCCTTGACGTTCCCCAGTGGGACATAGGGCTTCAAGCTAGTGGCTTGAAGTTTCTGTGGCAGTGTTTTTTTTTACAGGATGGTGTTGGTAGCCTTATGCCCAACCTTTCCTCTTCACCAGCATTATTTCTGGCTTAGCGAGGTAAAGGAGTGCGTCGGCCGGGGATCGAACCCCGGACCACATGTGCATAGTCGGCGAGCGTCCTAACCGCTATGCCACCGAGTAGTTGTCAACAGTTTTTATACTAAAGTACCCATTCAAACGGCCATCAATGCACTGAAAACGAGACTAGACGAAGATAATGACTTGAAAGGCAGGACACAGTTATCCGTAGAAGAGATAATTAAGAGGGATGGAATTCTGTCTAACAGCAACATATTTTACATTTGAAGGAAAAATATACTAACAAAATGAAGGATTAGCTCTGCGATCACCTATCTCACCAATTGTAACTGACATATTCGTGGACTTTTGGGAAGAGAATGCACTTAAACCATTCAAGTCATTAATAAAATGTTGGTGGAGATATGTAGACCATACGTTAGTAGTAATGAGAGAAAAACGATGTTGAGTAATTCTTCTGGTACATAAACAGTCATGGGGACTCAATAAAATTCACTATGGAGATAGAGAATGAAATTGGGGAATTGCTTATGTTAGACTGCGAAATAAAAAGAGTAACAGATAGTAACATAAAAACGACGCTATATAGAAAAACTACACATTCTGCGAGATTCCTTGATTATATCATTTAGCTCACCCACTCACAACAAAATTCAGGGTTAACGAAGGTCTTGCAGACTGAATACGTAGACATACAACAACACTAAATGACCAACAAAATGAAGTAAATGTTTCATTCCAAAGTGTCGTTTGGAAACAATTACGCAAAAGAATTTATCAGAGAATATAAAGAAGAAAACAAAGAGGGTAAAAACAGAAGATGACAAGAAGATGGATGGCAAAAAACGATTGCAATACCATATAAGAATGGTGTATCAGAGGCAATTCGAAAAAAACCACAAAACATATTGGCTTCCGCACAATGTTTACACCAACGAATCTAACTAAAAATAAAAATAAATCAACTAAAACATCTAATAAAAAATGATGGATAAAAATAACATAATGTACAAAATATGTTGTCGGTCGGTCAGTCGGTCGGTTTCCGACATAGAACTTTGCACATATGTGCGGAAGTTCAAGTCGCCACACTCCCTCCTTGTAGCACACAAAGGAAGAGGAGAAAGTAGGAGAAATGCATAATACAGACGGTAAACAGAGGTGTGAGACAAGGGTATAGTAACAACGAAGAACAAAACAGTTTCATTGGAAATCATAAGTCACAAGGAGTGGATGCAACTGCGCCAGCCATTGAGAACGATTTTGAGCCATGTCACCAATTGTTTCCAACCATTGGTTTTTACAGTCCCGAGGACCCCAACCAGTCAGGAAGTCTACACCTTCCTATGTGGCTCAGACTAACTGTTGTAGATTTCATTGACTGGTGCCATGTTTTGGTTTGACCGCCACTAGCTCTTTTCCAGCCTGACCCTATATCAGCTAACATTCCCGACCTTCGAGGAAGGCGATGGCTAGGGATGCATGCATAATACATGTCATAACCATCTCAGTCGATGTAATTTCACAGCCTCATCAATTGATTTCCCCTCTTTACCTAGCACTCGATGCCTAACCTCAATATTGCTCACCTTATTATACCACTTCACACGGGAGATAGAGCGCAGAGACCTTTGATCAAAGACAGCTAATCTTTTCATGTCTTCCACTCTCAATGTCCAGGTCTCACAGCCAGCCATAAAGGAGGATGGAGCGGACTGGTGAGCAGTTCACCCGCCCTTTGGTCGATAACCTGCTGGATATCACGTCTACGCCAGAGACGGTGTTAACTGGCATATGCGAAACTAGCCCTCTGTATTCTTGCTGAGATTTCGTCCTAGATCAATCCGTTGGGACTGACTGATGGTACTTCCTATTTCTAAACTAGGGTTCGGTGTAGTCCATTCCTGCAGCATCATCTTACATTTTACAGGGGCGAATCGCATACCAAACATTCTTAGATTGCAGCTCAAGGTGTTCAGTAGACTCTGCATTTTGTCATCACCCTCGCCTAGAAGGACTATATCGTCCGCGTATTCTAAGTCGATGAGATTATTCTCTGGTAGCAAGTCAATCCCTGAGTCTCTGACGGATGCCACTAGTCGTCACCACTTCAGATGACAACTCGCCGTAAGCTCTCACCTGGCTGCATGAGTACGAGTAGAGTGCCTTAATCAGCGCAATGTATTTTCTCGGCATTCCCTTTACAGCCAAGCATCGCCAGAGAACCTCTCGGTCGACAGTATCGAATGCCGCCTTTAGGTCAAGAAATATAATGATTGTCGGACGCCGGTAGGAATGTCTATGTTTTAGAATCTGTCGAAGGGTGAAGATATGATCAATACACCCTCTTCCTGGTCTAAAGCCTGCCTGGTTCTCTCATGTTTGTGCCTCCCGAGCACCACTTAGTCTACGCAGTGTTATTGAGCCTAGGATTTTAGATACTATATTAGTCAAGCTAATCCCTCTGTGATTGTCACAAGACTTGTCTCCCTTCTTGTATATCGGGATGATCAGTGACTTACACCAACCCGATGGGACTTCCTCTGATTCCCAGACGCTGCCTAGAACCTCCGTTAACGCAGACAGTAAACTGTCGCCTCCGTACTTAAATACCTCTGGAGTCAACAAATCAGGTCCCGCTGCTTTGCCTAGCTTCAGATTGGTGACAGCTTTAGTAACCTCAGTTAAGGACGGAGGACCTATGTCTGTATCCCATTCAGGGAGGTGTTGGATGTTCGGCAGGTTAAGTGTGGCTGTAGGCCAATTAAACTGCTCCTCATAGTGTTGTTACCAGCGCTCCAGTCGTCTATCCTGGGAGCTAATTATGGTGCCATTTTTCTCAGAGATTGTTTCGCTTATCATTTGCATTTTACCACCTGTTTCCCTGATGAGCCTGAATAGTTGTCTGGTGTTGCCAATCGCCGATGCCTTTTCCATCTCTTCCGCTTTTGTCGCCCACCACTGTTCACGGTTCTTGCGAAGACTTTTTGTTAGTCTTCGTTTAAGTACCTTTCGCTCCTCATCGAACGGAGGACCTTGTGGTTACAAGGCGAGCTCGTATATATGCATATATATATATCGTTGGAAAGACAAGTTTCTTCGGTGATTTGTTTGTTTTTTATATCATGACAATGTCTCTTTTTTGTCTCATCATTTATCTTGTGTATTCCACTGTTGTAGTGCCCGTTGTATATTGCTCCGAAATTGGATGATTTGCTAACCGATTGCAGTATGATCGAATCAACTAGGACTGTGTTTAGCAATACGAAATTGACAGATAGTCAATTGATAAATCTTAGTGTCAGTTTGTCTGCTGTCAGTCTTTGGCTTGAAAAGGTAAACGGCATTAATGGTCCATGCAAAAGTATCGGTTAGTCAATGTTATTATTGTTATTATTACTATTTACTGATTAATGTTTTTATTGGTACTCTATATCTAATCCTTAACTGCATTTTACTGCATCGATACGGTTAAATATTGACTACTTGTTTTTTTTATTGGAATGTTCTGTCTTCTCTGTAGTTGATTGCTAAGACTGAATTGGTCAGTTTCCATTCGGTCGGTCGGTTTTCTACATAGAACTTTGCACTGATGTGCGGCAGTTCAAGTCGCCACACTCCCTCCTTGTAGCACACAAAGCAAGAGAAGGAAGTAGAAGAAATGCATAATATAGACAGTAAACAGAGGTGTGAGACAAAGAAATGGTAATAATGTAGAACAAAACAGTTTCATTGGAAATCATAAGTCACAAGGAGTGGATGCATCTGCGCCAGCCAGCCATTGAGAACGATTTTGAGCCATGTCACCAATTGTTTCCAACCATTGGTTTTCACCGTCCTGAGGACCTCAACCAGGAAGTCTTCATCTTCCTACGCGGCTTAGACTAACTGTTGTAGATTTCATTGACTGGTGCCATGTTTTCGTTTGACTCAGTTTCCATTACTACAACAACAAAGATAATCCCTGAATACTTCACAGACTAAAGTGAGAACCGACATTTTCCATCTGGTGGGCCTTCTTCGGAGCACAACTCTAAGGAAGCTGAGGTAATCAGCATATAGTTTAGTTGAGCGGGCACCTTTGAGAATGCCATCTGAGTTGGTGTCCAACTAATGTGTAAACTAGCACCTCGACTATTATAACACTGAGAATTAAGGTATATTATTGAAACAACCCTTTATCTGAGTTTTTGGTTAACAGTTGATGATGCGCCCCTGAAAGTAGAACTTGTATGTATGCATCCGCCAAATCAACCATTGCAAAATCTCTCTCTACCACCTACAGTACCAAATAGGTCATCTGCGACTGGTGATGAATTATAGAGTTGTTGTACGGCTTCATTCAAACCTGTCAAGAAATTGCCACGAAATCGCAATGAATAAGTCACCGAACTGAAAATACTCTGAATATCTTCTAGTCATTTCGACCCAAACTGAATGCAGGACTCACACACACGAAACGCTATACACACAAACAAGGATCATAAGATCAATCCATTTCAATTTGGAGGCTTAAATTCTACTCACTAGCGTTTACACTCTCAAAAGATTTTCATTTTCAAATTACGAAAGGCAGCGATTATACACTTGTAAAACCAGTACACTCTATACTGCACTCAACTTCACCTCGTCGGTTTCGTCTGTCGGAAGTCGACTACAAGCAGATTTTAATCAGAAAGGAATGATACAATGTACTGTTGACTGATATGTGTCATTATAAATCACTCAGAATGATTAATAATTTCACCACCTGACATTGTTTGCAAAAGATGTGAACAAACAGTGAGAAAAAGGGGTGTGTACAGTTTATGATTGGTGTTCAATGAATTCATTGGAGATTTGAGAGGATAATGTACATTCAGAAATAATAGTACGAGTGTTGTTAATCCATTACAATTAGATGAGAAATAAAACAAGTGTTTTTATAGTCATAATAAGTTAATTGTTAGAATGTTATGATGTGCTTGAATGGAAATAGAATTTTGAGATTATTTATTATCCTCTTCTGATTTGACCGGCGGTAACAATATCTTCCATATTTCTCGTATTTGCATTGAGTCATTCCTATTTCATGTGTTGGGTGTAGATTCAATGAACCAGGATTCAGTAATCTACCTCTCTCCCCACCTACCTATATTACTTTTTAGAATTTTAACCCTCTCCCACCCTATTGTGTGGTTGTTTGTTAATGCGTGAAATGCAATAGCTGAGCTTTTTTCTAAATTACTTATATTTTCAGGGTCAACCATTCTTCCCTTAGCTAAATTCTTATGTTCTGACAATCTGACTACCCCTGACCTACTAGTTTGACCTATGTAGTTGACCTGACGGTCATTGCAGGGTATTTTGTAAACTATATGATTTTGTTTAATTGGGTCCACCGGGTCTTTCATCCTACAAAGTTTGTCTCTGATTGAGTTTGTGGGTTTGAATGCCACCCTAATTCCTGCTTTATTGAGAATCCTACGTAGGGCCTCAGATGTCCCCTCCTTATATGGTATAACAGTAGAAGACTTATATCCTCTCTTATTTATGTTATTACTACTAGTTACACAATTATTTTTATTTTCTTTTTGGCCTTTACTGATCTTCTTAATGAATTTTATAGGATAGTTATTCAACACCAACGCTTCTTCTATCTGTTTTATTTCATCATTTAGGTCTTTTTTGTGCTACTTAGTGACTCGGTCTGTCAGACACTTCACTAAGCCTGCTTTAACAGTTAACGGATGAGACGAATTAAAGTCTAAATATCTATTAGAATGCGCTGGTTTTTTATAAACACTAGTGTGTAATTCGCCTTCTTCTATTCATTTTATTTAGCAATCTAGATCAATCTTAGATTGTAAAAAAAGATTTCAGAGGATTTGGAAATAACGAGTATGCTTGGAAAGCATTCTAACAGATGTGATAGCATATAAGCAGTCTGGTGTATCTATCTGTGAGCAATGAATTCAACCGACCGTCGAAGACATAACCGACGTGAAGACAGTATCATAGAGCCATATAGGCTGCTTTTATAATTTTATGCACTTATCAAATCCGATAGCCATGTACACCTGGTTTTGTTATCTTTACACCAATTAGGCAACTTAACATCGTTAAAATGACCCCATGCTGAGAAACGATGATTAAGTTGTTGCATAATATAAGCTGAGTGGATTTTATAAATTCTGGTTTAATAATACTACTTTGATGTCCGTCGGTGGCACAGCGGTTAGGACGCTCGCCGACCATGCACATGCTCCGGGGTTCGATCCCCGGCCACAAACGCTTTCCTTTACCTCGCTAAACCAAAAATAATGCTGGTAAAGAGAGGTTTTGCGTGCACTTTGGAGGCTGGAAAAGAGCTAGCGGCGGTCAAACCAAAACATGCCTTCACCAGTCAATGAAATCCACAACAGTTAGTCTAAGTCACGTAGGAAGATGAAGACTTCCTGGTTGGGGTCCTCAAGACGGTAAAAACCAATGGTTGGAAACAATTGGTGACATGGCTCAAAATCGTTCTCAATGGCTGGCGCAGATGCATCCTCTCCTTGTGACTTATGATTTCCAATGAAACTGTTTTGTACTTCGTTATTACTATTCCTTTTGTCTCACACCTCTGTTTACCGTCTCTAATATGCATTTCTCCTACTTTATTCTCTGCTTTGTGTGCTACAGGGAGGGAATGTGGCGATTTGAACTGCCGCACATCAGTGCAAAGTTCTATGTCGAAAACAGACAGACAGACAGACAGAATGCTGGTAAAGAGGAAAGGTTGGGAACATGAGGCTAGCAACCCCATCCTGTAAAATTAAACACTGCCACTGAAACTTCAAGCCTCTAGCTTGAAGCCCTATGTTCCACTGGGAACGTGAAGGAAAAATCAAAAATCATCAATCATACTTTGATAAAGTTATTAGAAGCATTAAATAGCGAAACGTCAGTAAAAACAACAATATCGTTTTGTCTTTAATAATAATAATAATTTGCTTTATTCCCAAACAGTACTTGTGATACAGAATGGAATTCTCAGCATTTTTACTACAGTATTGCATCCAGTTAGTACATTCACAATAAATAATATTCTACATAGATTAATGGTAATCTCAGTTAGTTTTGACAACAACGTATTGGCATGTCGGTAGCAAAGCCAAAATTGAACAAAGTGTTTGAAGGTGTTAGAAAAGTAGGTGCTATCATATTTACTGGCGTAAGCGGTAACAAAAAGGTCGAGATATACAGAGTGTGAAAGAACGAAGAAGAATGTTTTTTAAATAGAGTTTCTAAGGTAGAAAGAAACAAAGCAGGACATAACAAAAAAGAAAGAGAGAGTAAACGTTGTACCTATAAATGATATCAGTTGGAAAGACGAGATCCAGTTGTTCTACTGACTATTTAATGAATTATAGGTGTCACGCCTAATGCTTTCTTTATCGCACAGAACACGAGCTAAGTAGGGTATGGTTGAGTTATTGTACTTGCTGGTGCGAGCATATAGATTTCTATATAGGCTTCTGGTTTTACCTGATGAGATGCAAGGGGAGAGTTGTGAGTGAAGAGGGTGGTGTGAGTTAGATAAAATGGATTTAGCCCATTTTTCACATGAGCCCATGTGCCTGTCGACCAGAATATTAACAAGCTTTTTCATTCATTCATTGGGAAATACAAAAAAGACCTTTATTATAATGAATACCATATACCCCCAATGCACAAATTTTTTCAAACTGTTAAAAGTGTACTTGATTTGAACATACATAATTCTATTAACAAGATTTGTTAAACCTTTTTAGGTTTACAACCTACATTGGTTTTGAAACCTGATTCAACTATGTTAAAAGGTAATATATGTTGTTTTTTTCCTTTTATCCGAGTGTTATTCTAGTTATCTTTTCCTTCTAATAATTCGATGGGATTTTAGAGTACTGTTTTTCTTCTGGTTTTGTTTTGTTTTCTTTTTGAAATTTTTAATTTTATTGAAGATGGATGTGTGGTTCTATTTAACCAGCAGAAGGCACGATTAAGGTTGGCATAGGTTCATAATTGAAATTTAGCGTAGACTTCCCTCTTTCACATGACTCGACAAGTTTTTTGATTTTTTTTTAAGCGTCAACTTAATGTCCAGCTAGTATCGACGAGATGAGTTAGTATTGTATTGAGCTGCGTACAGCCAGCTTTATTCGGACCTTTGCCAAGCCAACATAGGAGATGTTCAGAAATTTGACGATGAACTTGCCTTATCGTACACCCAACTTAACTAACTTCACACCAGCAGTTGAACTGATTATTAAACAGGAAAGAGGCGAAACAGGTCAGCTTGTCTTCATTTCTTGTGTTTGGCTAGTGAAATATATATGTGTGTGTTGGTGATACAGCGGTTAGGACGCTCACCGACCATGCACATGTTCCGGGTTTCGATCCCCGGCCACAGACGCATTCTTTTATCTCCCTAAGCCAGAAATAAAACTGGTAAAGAGGAAAGGTTGAACATGAAGCTAGCAACCCCATCCTGTATTAAAAATAAACACCGCTGCTACAGAAACTTCAAACCTCTAGCTTGAAGCTCCCTATATTCCACTGGGAACATAAAGGAATAAAAAAAAATGAAATATACTGCATAACTTAGCTGCGTCAAGAGTCCTTTTGCAGTCTTCTCTCAGACGTGATGATAAGATCCGACTATTGCTGTTACCCGTGAATTGTAATCTTAAGAAGACTGGTTGTTTGGGAACAGCGGGCACTTTTCACTTTTTATTTGATGAGTTCATGTCTTTGTTGAGGAATTAAGTCGAATATTCGTATCTACCTGGTGGTTTACATATATTACCGAGTTCTTCGTTCAGTGTTTCATTTGAACAGGTAACTTCAGCCCACTTTGAACCAGACATCTAATTACATTACATTTCTACTGCAGAGGCACCAACCAAACTTGAGACTTGAATATATTGTCCAGTTGAAGTAGGTTTCCGTTACAAACGTCTACATAATTTAGAACAACACATTTAAGCGAACAACATTGTTTTCAATTAGATCTCATCAGGCTTAACTCTAATATATATAAGTTTACAAATAAAAATTCAAATATAAACCAATCATGGTGTTATTGTCTATAGGATAATAAAATGGTGAATATAAATTGTGCAATTAGTCATAATAGTAGTAATGATAATAATAATAATAGTAATAATAGAAATGGTCTTATCAATAATAAGGATGAAAATGTGAGGCAATCTGTGATAACACGGATAATGAAAAAACAGTATGATTAAACAAACAACTGTTCAGATGGAAGTAGTCGATAAAGGCTAGTAAGAACAAATGAACCGATTAAGTAATGTAAGATCGTAAGTGAAGGAAATGAAACACGTTTATAATGAAGATAAGATTAAGGGATGATAAGAAAGGGGATGAAAATACAAACAAAGGGTGGTGTACAAGTTATTAGTTGGTTACGTCTTAATAGGCCAAGGGAGGGTTAATGGCTGTACGAACTTTTTTTGAATACATAATTTAGGTTTAGTAGTTCGAATGCCTATTGCCTCAGCTGTGTGTAGTAGACGAATACGAAGTCTATTGGAAAGATTCGGTGGGATACGATGAATCACTTTGAAGGCTCTCGATTTCTCGATTACATGACCACTATCAACTAAGTGTGACGAAATTGAGCTACGGATTGTTTTTGTCTGTCCTTTGCCAAACCACGATGGGAGATGTTCACTAACACGTTGGCTAAGCTGGCTAGTAGTACGCCCAATATAACTGTCACCGCAGGTTCAGTTGAATTGATAAATACACATAGATGTGGCAAAACTATCAAGCTTACCTTCGTTTGCGTCCCAATCTTCGTCGGCTAGAGAATGACAAACATAGGTGTGCTGCATAAAAAGTTCTTCGTATACTCCTTGAAAGTCTTTGGAATTGGATCTCACTTGATAAGTCAACACTAAATTGTAACTTAATAAATAGAGGTTTCTTACGTGCAGTCAGAGTCTCCGGTTTTTCTCCGATGTTTTCATATGTTTCTTTATGAAACTACTCGGATAGCCCACTCCATCAAGGAATCGTGAATATATTCAAATTCCTTTTGTAAGAGGTCATCCGTACATATCTTTCTTGCTCTACTCGCAAGACATTTTACAACGTTCCTTTTGTATTTAATGGGCACGTAACTAAGGAAGTGTGTATTGCCCTGTGAAAGTGCTTTTTTTTCTATACACGCTTCTCCCAAGTGACCCATCTTCTCTCTTATTTAGCAAGACATCCAGGAAATGTAGTTTATTGTCCTGCTCATCTTCACAAGTAAAGGTAAGCGAAGGGTGGATGTTGTTGAATTTCAGCAACAATTCGCCTATATTAACATTCTCATCAGCTAAGATAAATGTATCATCGACATATCGATAATACATATCAAACTGCTTGATGATGTCCTTCAATTTGCCGTTTTCACGTTTTGCGAGAAAGAAGTAAGCTAATATTGGGCCTAATGGTGAACCCATAGCTATTCCATCTACTTGTCGATAGTAAGAATTATTAAAGACGAAGTGAACATTTATTGTGCATTTAAGAAGTAATTCTTTGAGGCTACACAAGGGGATTCCTAAGCCTAATTGCCTTTCGACGATTTCTTGACAAATATAGTCTACTGTTTCCATAAGCGATACATTAGTGAATAGTGATGATGACATAGGGCCAGGCTGGAAAAGAGCTAGCGGCAGTCAAACGAAAACATGGTACCACTCAATGAAATGCACAACAGTTAGTCTTAGCCACGTAGGAAGATGTAGACTGGCTTCCTGGTTGGGGTCCTCAAGACGGTAAAAACCAATGGTTGGAAACAATTGGTGACATTGCTCAAGATCCTCGTTCTCAATGGCGCAGATGCATCCACTCCTTGTGACTTATGATTCCCAATTAAACTGTTTTGTTCTCCGTTATTACTATTCCTTTGTCACACACCTCTGTTTACTGTCTATATTATGCATTTCTCCTACTTTCTTCTCTTGCTTTGTGTGCTACAAGGAGGGAGTGTGGCGACTTGAACTGCCGCATATATGTGCAAAGTTCTATGTCGAAAACAGACAGCTGGCTGAGCCGGTTAACCATTCAGCAATTTGTTTCGAAATCAGTTAGCCCACCATATATTCTGATTTCTGTCAATTATTGATTTCCGTTGGATATTAAAACTTATTGTTTCAATGGAAACTGAATCCTTGGCCCTATTAAATGTCACAAATGCAGCAGTCTAATCAGAAGGCAGTAGTCGTAAGCCTGAAGAAATTCCTTTAAACAGAAATACCTATATGAATATTTGCATTAAAATTTTAAGTGAAGCTACCCACAAATAGCATCATTTTAACAATCTGTAAAAGGTGAAGTTAAAGTATGACGGTCCAAGGAAAGCGAACACTTCATTCATCTTTGAATGCATACTAGTCCTTTTGCATAACGGGACTTGTCATTACTATAGTGCTAATATGAACGCTATTCACCAACTAAGGAGAGCATAGCTGTAAATGTTTTTAGCTATGCTTCTATGTACATGCATCAGTGTTCAGAAGCTGGAGATGAAGATGTTGTATTTGGGTGCATACAGTGTAGGAAACGAATAAGTGTTCGTAGTGTTCGTAAGTTACACACTCAGTTTTATTGTTTTCTAGGAACTTTCTCTGCTGAATCAAAACTGCCGGAGTGAAATTAACCGCTGTGGAGATAGCACATATATCTTGGTATCTATTGTGCAATGGTTCCAGCATTCAAGAGATATATTCTCCTGGAAGTTTAATGACGTTACACACCTGTTAGGAGAAGTTCGTATGATTGTTCACGCCAATGAAACAGTCCTTATAACGAAGATATATAACCAGCGATCGCCTTAGAGCTAACAACTTTTGCGTATTGGGTATTTATGACACTGAACTTCAGAAGGGGATACTAGAGGTGATTCCAGATTGTAGTGTTAATACCGTTCTACCCATTTATCAAAGGTTAATTATCCCCATTAGACTACTATCCACACTACTATCCAATGGGACAGATATTACTGCTTATCATTGAGTTAACCATTCTGATGATTTCATCGACCTCATAACTGACACTGAAACCAGTTCAACAGAGGGTTTCTGTGGTAGAGTGAAGAACAGGAGAAGACCGGTTAACGGCTTACAAAATGAACTTACAAATGAACCAAAATGACACTCCTCATTATAACTGAGACGTATTTTTAAGTCATGTTTGAGAAAAATACCCTTTTTCAAGGTGTTATCATGTTGTCTCTGGTAAATCAATGTCACTTTCGTGTGTGTGTGTGTGTAAAAAGCAATTATGTTTCTGATTGGTTGCCTCAAGGTCACCAGTGCGTTCGCATATCATGGATCGTGATACTGTAACTTTGCCCTGTTTAAAAAAACGATTGATGACTGACTGCTTTCAACTTAGAACTCTGCACAGATATGCAGCAGTTCGAGTTGCCATACTCCACGTGGCACAGAAAGCCAAAGAAGAGAGTAGAGAAAGATTCAAAGCAGAGATAGTATGAACAGAAATATGAGGCAATGCGAATAGTATTGTGAAAGGACAATATGATTTTATAGAATATTATAAATCATATGAAGTGGATACATCTGCGCCAGGCATTGAGAATGAAGATTTTCATCCATATCATCAATTGTCTCCAACCATTGGCTTTTACAGTCCCCAGGACACCAACCAGTCAGTCAGCCAGTCTACACCTTCCTACGTGGGTGACTGGCTGGCTGGCTTCAGCTAACTGTTATGGATTTCATTAACTAATGAAGCCATGTTTCGGTTTGACCACCACTAAGTAGCTCCTTTACAACCTCAACCATCTGATGTCTGTCAGCTAACACTCCCCATCGTAGAGTAAGGGGATGGCTAAACATGCATGCACTACACATGTCCTAACCATCTCAATCGATGTAACTTCACAGCCTCGTCTCTTGTTTTCCCCTCCCTACTTACCTAGCACTCGACCGATGCCTAACCTCAATATTGCTCACCCTATTACACCGACCACTTAACACGGGAGATAGAACGCAGGCACCTATGATGAAATACAGCTAGCCAGCCTTTCCAGGTTTTCCGCTCTTTATGGCCAGGTCTCGCTCACAGCCAGCCATAAATGAGCACGGAGCAAAGTGACGCTGAGCAGTACACACGCCCTTTGGTCGACATCCATCTGGATATCACGTCTACTAACCCAGAGATGGTGTAAACTGGTATATGCGAAACTAGCCCTCTTTATGGATGCTGAGATTCCGTCAGAGATCAACCCGTTGGCAATTGCTGATGCGATTTCCCAAATAAGTGAAGCGGTCAACACGCTCTACCACTTCACTCCCTATTTCTAAGCTAGGAGTCAATGTAATGCAGTCCGGTCCTGTAACATCATCTTACATTTGGCGGGAGCTAATCGCATGCCACACATTCGTAGATGGCAGCTTCAGAAGACTCTGCATTTTGTTAGCATCTTCACCTACAAGGACTATATCATCCGCACGCATATTCTAAGTCTACAAGATTATTCCCTGACGGTAATAAGTCAATCCCTGAGTCTCTGAAGTGAGTAAGGGTTAAGTCCATTAGTACATCTATGATGAGATTGAATAGATATGGGCATAGTGGGCATCCCCAAAGGACACCACCAGTTGTCACCACTTCATATGACAACTCTCCCTCTGTAGGCTCTTACTTGGCTGACTGCATGAGTTCGAGTAGAGTGAGTGCCTTGATTAGTTCAATGTATTTTCTCGGCATTCCCTTCACAGTCAAACATCGCCATAGTACTAATCCCTCAACAGAAGCGAATATCGATTTCAGGTCAAGAGATATGATGATTGTTGGACGCCGATCAGAATGCCTATGTTCCCGAATCTATCGAAGGGTGAAGAAAGATTTGATCGATACACCCTCTCCCTGGTCTAAAGCCTGCCTGATTCTTTCCTTTTTGTTCCTCTCGAGCACCATTTGGTCTACATGATGTTTTGTAATGATTTATGTCTCAATATATATTCCTATAGTTTTGTCGTTTATTCAGTTTATTCTTTCCATAAATTAAATAATCGGTTGTCTTTTTTTGATGTGGTTGTGTTAATTTGCGAAGCTTTCATCACCCTACTAGGTGACATCTTCAGCGCATACTTCAATTTGAAGTGAGCTTTTAGATTTCTCCATGAGTTTATTAATCATCTCTCCTAGTGGGTGACCTTGGACGTGATTGGTTGTTTTTGTGCGTTTTCACAAGTCAAAGGAACACCCATGGGATCGCAAATATCAGGTTTGATTGCAGAAGCAGTGATGCAAAGGCTCGAAAACATAATTCTGCCAAAGACCAAACCGAAGATTTGGATACATTACGTGGACGACACATTTGTAATAATCAAAAGAAACGAGTTAGATAAAGCTCACAATCTGATAAACAACGTCTTCAACGACATCAAATTCACAAGAGAAGAGGAATCAGAAAACCAAATCCCATTTTTGGACGTCTTAGTCAAGCGAACAACAACAGGGGAATTAGAAACTCAAGTCTATAGAAAATCAACTCACACAGACCAAATCCTGAATTACAACAGCAACAATCCAATAGCACACAAGAGGAATTACATACAAACACTATTCAAGAGGGCCAGGACTCATTGCAGTACTCCCACCTTAAGGAAAATTGAAGAGAGATATCTCATGGGCGTCTTCCAAAAGAATGGATATCCACGGAATTTCATCAAAAGAAATATACCCCCAAGCCAACCTATCAAACTAAAAGCCCCCAAGGAAAGCACAAAGAAAGTCTCCCTGCCATATATAAAGGATATATCAGAAATCACTGCAAGACTCTTCAGACCTTTAGGAATTGACGTCGCACACAAACCAACAAAATCACTTCACTCAGTTGGCTCTCTGTCAACCAAAAGACTCAACAGCGAAAGAAGATAAAACCAACATCATCTACAAGATAAATTGTAACAACTGCGAAAAACACTACATTGGCCAAAGTGGACGTCCCCTTCGTCTTCGTATCCACGAACATAAGCTAGCCGTCAAAAGACATGACATCCACTCCCTCATATCACTACACACAGACGACCACGGGCATCAATTCGATTGGGACAATGTTCAAATATAAGGGAGAGGAAACATCAAAAATGCTAGAGAATTTTTAGAAGCTTGGCATTCCAGTGAATCATCAATCAGTAGACACATCGAGATTGACAAAATATATCAACCGATAAGAAAGAAACCTCACAAAGGGTCAAAGTTCAAATCAAAGAAACAATGAATTAAAATACAAGTAGCCTAGAAGGTGTGAAAACACAAAAACAACCAATCACGTCCAAGGTCACCCACCAGGAGAGATGATTAATAAACTCGTTGAGAAGTCTTAAAGCTCACTTCAAATTGAAGTATGCGCTGAAGATGTCACCTAGTAGGGTGATGAAAGCTTCGCAAATTAACTAACTATCCAGCTCAGAGAACACAACCACATCAAAATCATCCACCTGAGCTACAACTCTTCTCCATCATATCTAAATGAATTGTCTGTAATTTAGTAATTTGTAAATGGTACTGCTACATGTCTAAATCTGATTAAGTTTCAAGTGCCCAATTACACTCCCAAAATCAATAAGCTGCTTTATACAACACAACGAGTTACACTGGTTGGGACTATGTTTCTGCAGGTCCCTACCATGATGCCATGATGTCAAGTGGCATTATGCGAAACCTTCGTCGAATTGTTTCGCTAATTTTTAAAAGTTTGACATTGTATACATTTAAACATTTTCAAATTGTTGTTTTGCTTGTTCTTGCTTTTTTTTAAGATGCTTTATCTGCCCGTTGGCCAGGTCGTTGGCAAATTGTATTCAGAAAGAATATAACCTACTTCCTGGATGGTGCGCATACTGTGGAAAGTTTACAAGTTAGTAAACAGAAAATAAGTTAATTATTTTTATGTACCAAAAATTGGATTTTAGTCCATTGTTGTTGAGTAATAGAGGTGTGGGGGTGACGTCACTGATATAATTACCCAGAAGTGGCTTTAGAAGTGAAAATAAAAGTTACGAATTATGCAATACTCAGCGGCACAGAGGAAAAAACGGCTAGAAATTTGATAGGGTTAAAATTGTTATTGTCATCCTAACGAACATAGTTTCTAAAATCCCAGGCTCAGTAATCATGCACAGACTAAGCAGAACTCGGGAGGATCAAACGAAGGAAAATCAAGTGGGCTTTGGGCCAGGTAGAGGGTGCATAGATCATATCTTCACTCTCCGACAGATCCTAGGACATAGACACACTTTTAGGCGTCCAACAACTGCCATATTTCTTGACTTGAAGGCGGCCTTCGACTCCGTGGATCGAGAGGTACTATGGCAATGTTTGACTGTGAAGGGAGTGCCAAGAAAGTACATTGCATTAATCAAGGCACTCTACTCAAACTCACGTAGCTGTGTAAGGGCTTATGGGGAATTGTCATCTGAATTGATAAGAACCAGTAGTGTCCGTCAAGGATGTACACTATCCCCATTTCTATTCGTTGTCAATCGCGCAGATGTATTCAGTCACTGTAATCTTTCATATTCCTTTCTACCATTACTCATTCTGTTTCACTCTTATACTTGTCAAAACTCTATTGATTCTCTTCACTCATCTTCTTGTCTACCTTTGTGTGGTATTTGGAACGTGGCGACTCGAACTGCTGCACTTCAGTGCCAAGTTCTCTGTTGAATCCAGACAGACAGACAGACAGAATTATCAAGTGTGAAGAGATTGAGAAAATGTACAAAAGGAACTTGTGACAGTGATAATAGTGAATTAATTATTAAAGTAAAATCTAAGTAATCATTAGAAGTATAGAAAAAATTGCAGGGAACGACTAGTGAAGATGCCTCATTCATTAGGCCATGCAGGCGAACTAAGAAGGTGGTTCGTGGTTCGATTCCCGGTCGCAGAGGCACTCCTTTACCTCGCTAAGCTAGTAATAAACTTGGTAAAGAGGAAAGGTTGGGCATGAGGCTAGCAACCCCATCCTGTAAGAGAAAAAAACACCACTGCTACAGGAACTTTAAGCCTCTAGCTCGGTGCCCGCATCTTTCAACAGGAGCGTGAAGGAATAAAAAAAACCACCACACTGCCAAAGTTCTATTCTTATAGCTCTCTATCATGGTTCACTCAAAATTGTTGTTAGACGGTTGGTGACAGTCAGTCAGCAGGAAATTATTCTGCACCAAATGAAGGCGCATGACATTAATTAGCACCTAGTGTCCAACCAAATTATCTGCTACCATCTTCCAGGAGGTCAATCGCCAGCTCGAATAGCTAAATGGTAGCCTTTCTGACTGAAGGTCGGTCGGTCGGTCGGTTTTCGACATAGAACTTTGCACTGATGTGCAGCAGTTCAAGTCGCCACACTCCATGTACCACACAAAGCAAGAGAGCAAAGTAGAAGAAATTCATAATATAGACAGTAAACAGAGGTGTGTGACAAAGGAATAGTAATAACAAAGAACAAAACAGTTTCATTGGAAATCATGAGTCACAAGGAGTGGATGCATCTGCGCCATTGACGACGACGATTTTGAGCCATGTCACCAATTGTTTCCAACCATTGGTTTTTACCTCCGGAGGACCCCAACCAGGAAGTCTACACTTCCTATGTGGCGTAAAATAGCTGTTGTGGATTTCATTGACTGGTGCCATGTTTTGGTATGACCGCCGCTAGCTGTTTTCCAGCCTGGCGCTACATCAGCTAACATTGCTAGTCGATGTAATTTCACAGCCTCGTCGATTGATTCCCCCCCCCCTACCTACCTGGCACTCGACGCCTAACCTCAATATTGCTCGCCTTATTATACCACTTCACGCGGTATAATAAGGTGGCACGTGGTGACGCAGTTTTGAGACTGCAGCAAGGATATGAGTTTCTTCAAAACTGTAAATACTTCTTGTTGACTGGCGGAATGCCAACTAGCACGAAACCTAGCTGTCAGCCGGGGTCTAATAAGTTTACCCTAGTATAGCCTAGTTGATGACAAAATCTTTATTTTACCATGTATATTATTGAATTCTGTCATATGACACGGATATTTTAGACTTAAACGCAAAAATTATGAGTCTTATATGCACGTGGGGAAGGTACACATATGAACCCTTTTAGTAAAGTGGAATTGTTGGGGCATTTCGCCATGAGCTGACACCTGAGAGTACTGAACGGCTATTTCGCCCTAGCTTGGGACTCTTCACAGTACGCACCCAACAGTACTCACCAACGGGGTTCTAACCCAGACCATTAAGCCACTCGAACCTGATCCAATGTCCAGTCCATGAATTCAAACTTTTGTCAATCCATGACATAGCGTGACCACTTCGCAATGTATTCTTTGATGAGTTAATGACTCACTCACTGTCCAGTACTCCTTGCAGGTATTCCAATAGTTCTCTAATAACTGATATCAGCCCAGGATGAAATTCTCCAATCAATCAAACAAAATCCATACAAAACCAATACTTGTAAAATGGATTTATTTCATCTCGCATAGTGTTACCTTTTTTACTATATCCTTTTTAAAACTGCTGTCTTTTATCGAATATATCTACTCCTCCTCTTTCTACATTATGATCTGTTTTTTTTTCAGTCTGCAATTCACTGGTTTCATAGTCAAAGTTTAACGAAGTATAATGTTGGGTAAGTGGTACTTTGTATTGTATTCTTTTTTTGTTAATGCCTTATATTTTAGAAGACAAAAGAAAATTTGAGCACAAAGAGAGTATCATTTTCGATAATTTTCCTCTGCTGCCTAATTTCGCCTCTTCTTCTGTGAGTAGTATCGACTAATTTGACTACTCCTGTGAAACCAGGCAGTTATATAAGCTGTACATTTAGGTGTGTTTATTATCGGATTTCCAAATGCCATCTTGTTAAAGGGTTAAGTAGGGGGAGAAACAAAGTCCATTCATAGTTGTATACTGTCTCATCTCGTAGATATAGAATACAAGGTGGCTTTCAAAGTCATCTACCGTATGCCAGCCGAGTAATCTTAATTTTCTATTTCAAGAGTTTGTCTATTATACATATTGCTGAGGCTGGCTGTTGCAATCTACATTAAAAAGCTTAACCTATGTATCTAAAAAAAAGAAGTTGATTGGTTCAGATACCCTCCCCACCTTGGTCGTCAGTCAAGGTTTTAATGATCCTTAATTTGTTGTTTTTAGTGATTTCCTCAGTTTTATTTGATATTCTATTTACTATTACATTTTTTTATGCTTATTATAACTAAAGCGTCTTTCTTGAACTGTCTGTAACTCCACTATTACTGCTACATTTTCCTACATACTTCCTGATTAATTTATTAGGGTAATTATTAAGTTTCTAAGCTTCACTTATATGCCTCACTTCGTGTCTTCGATTTTCGTTGATAATAATAATGGTGATAATAATTACAATAATAATTATTATTGTTTCCTTTAATTCCTAGAGGAACATAGGGCTTCAGCCGTGCGTCTCCATAATAATAATAATAATAATGACATACATGTCAAACATGCCCAGGATAATGACAACATCAACAATAGGTAACATAAATCATCGGTAGTACAAAGGTCCATATAAAGAAGGAACCTCGGAAACCTTACGGAGGATGCTTAACAATGCAGAAATAAAACTGGCTGGTATTCAAACCCACAAATTCAATTAGAATCAAGCTTTGTAGGTTAGAGGATCGTGTGGAACAGCCAATTAAACAATACAATTTAGTTTGTCCAGTATCCTGCATGCAGGGTCAAATACATACGTCAGAGTAGTAGTAGTAGTCGGTTGGGGTCAGTGAGACTAGTGGAGCAGTACAAAAGCCCGGTAAAATCTAGATTCGTTGGCCCTAATGAGATAAGAAATCTGGAGAATAGTTGAGCAGCTATAGTACTCACTACATGCAAATACACACAAATAGGATGGGATAAGATGACATTTCTAAGATCTAATAAAACAACAGCAAGGTGAAGGGAGAGATTGTTAACAACAACGGAAACTTTATTTATCGAATTAACTGAATGGAAATGAGTGTAATAGGAACGATTCAACACCTGTCCACTCGGAAATTCTACTACCTCTAAGACGACGAATAAGAGGGAATAAAAAAAAACCGTAAAACGAGAATTTTGAAGTTGTGTGGTTATAATTGATGATATGATTGTGAATAGGAATAAATTCTTTTCGAAACCTTGTCATCCAGTATGTTATGAATACTGTTTCACTATGTGTGTGATATATCTAATAAACAAATTAATACGGAATTACTACCACAGTATATGTATATATATATATATATATATATATTTGTAGAGGCAGAAGAGGAAATTATCGAAAAGAATATTCTTTGCTCAAATTTATATATTTTTGTAAATTTAAGCTTATTCTTGTCGAATTTATATGTTATTTCTCCCCCTATTGTCAGCTTTTCTCCGTCTTGTAAGACTGTCTGTGAAGAAATGTGAAGACAATGATCTCTTAGATTCAACTTCCTTGATCAACTTATTCACTTGGATATTTTTTCCCCTCTTAAACTGAGACTATCTCAGAGAATCTAACCAACAGTGAATGAATTTATTTATTATTGTTCCCTTGGGTTCCTAGTGGAACATACGGCTTCAACTGCACGTCTCCACTTGCTTCTGTCTTCTGCTGTACTTTTCACCTGCATCCATGTTAGTCCATACTGTTTCAACTCCTCTTCACACGATCTCCTCCATGTCACCCTTCGACGTCTCACTCGCCGCTTCCCTTTCGGGTTCCACTCGAGCACTGACCTGAAGCGCGATGTCACCCAACGGCCTCCTCAGCGAGTGTCCAATCCATCTCCACTTTCTCCTGCATATTTGTTTGGCGATTGGTTCTTGTTTTGTTTGTTCCCATAGTTTCTTGTTGGTGATTCTTTCCGGCCATCTGATCTTCAGTATAGAGCCAGCGAAGACAGTTGTTGTTGATAAAGGTCTGCAACAGGCTGTTGTAAATATTCTTTTTGACTCGCCATATTTCTGATCCGTATAGAAGAATTGACTGACTTGACGTTTGTATTGAAAATCCGAATCACTTTGTTGTTGATGCAGGCTGAGTGACAGCGGAAGATTTCCAGATTGGTTTCAGGTTGATGAATGTGTTTCTCGTCTTCCCGATTCTCGCTCGATTTGACATCCTCGTCCGTTCCTCGTGTAGTTGAGACAATGCTCCCTAGATAAGTGAAAGAAGTAACCTCTTTCAAATCCCTCCCGTTGATGGTGATGCCTCCGCAATCCTCGCTCTGATGATATTCTCATGAGTTCCATCCGCCTGTAGTTAAAAGGGTGCTTCCCAGGTAGATAGTTAGGTAGGTAAGTGAAGGATATTGCTTCTCTCAGGTTTCTCTCACTTACGCTGGCTGATCGTTGTCTGTTGTTGTTGCTGTTTCTGTTGGCGAGGAATCTTCATCACCACTGTTCATCTGGAAGAAGTCCCATCTTTTCTGGATGCTTCTTCTTCCAACTTGTTGCTTTTCACTTGCATATCTTCCACTTTGTGAGAAATCAGACATGTATCATCGGTGAAGTCCAGATCCTCCAAATTTTTTGTCTGAGTCCATTTTATGCCTGTCTCCTCGTTTCCCGGCCCGCTGTCTGTCGTATTATCAGGAAAATCATTGGAGATATTAGGCAGCCAACGTTGTCGTACTCCCGTCTTAACTTCGAAGGATTCCGTGAGTTTCCCGTTGTGGATTACTTGGCATGCACCATTGTCGTACAACTTTTGAATGAGATGTATAATTGTCGGCGGCATCCCTCAGTAGCGAAGTATTTTCCAAATCACCTCTCAATTGATGCTGTCGAAGGTCTTTTCAAAGTCGATGAAGTTGAGATAGAGAGGTGACTGCCATTCCAAGCTCTGTTCACTGATGATCCGTAATGTTGCTATTTGATCGATGAATGACTTGTTCCTCCTGAATCCAGCCTGTTACAGTCGAAGCTTTTTGTACAGGTTGGCGTGTTTGATTCTCTCCAGGATGATGCGGCTTAGTATTTTGCTTGGGATGGACAGGAGCATAATTCCGTGCCACTTCTTGCATTGAATTATGTCTGCTTTCTTTGTCATTTTGCATAAGTATCCTTTCTTCCAATCCGCAGGCACCTTGCCCTCTTTCCACACCTTCTCCAGTAGTGGCGTCATCAAGTCCGCCGTTGTCTCTTGGTCCTTTTTCAACGCTACTGCCGGGATTCCATCTGATCCTGCTTCTTTTCCAGCTTTTAGCATCTTGATTGCCTTCAAGATTTCTGTTCTCGTCGCAGAATTGATGTCCAATGGTAGTTCTGCTTCCGCTGTTGGTATTATTTGGCGCGTTGTAGGTGGCAGTCGACTAAGAAAATCATTCTAAGTGTTCAGCACTGTGTTTCCTTTGCTCCACTTCTTTGGTGAGTGACTTTCCATTGTCATCCTTCACTGGCTTAATTTGTGCTGAACTTTTGCCCGATAGGTGCCTAATTGTTTGATAGAGTGTTGCGAGGTCTCCTTTGCCTGCAGCTTGTTCTGCTTCCCTTGTCATGGCTTCATAATACTTTCTTTTGTCTTCTCTGGCACTCTTCTTTACTCTTTTGTTCAGTGTCTTGTAGTTTGCATTCAAATCCTGTTTTTGTTACTCGTCAGTGCACTGGAGAATCTTTTGTTTCCCCATCCCTCTCTCTTCTATCAGTCTCCACGTGTCCGTAGTGAGCCACTGTTAGTCCTGTCTCTTCTTTCTGCCTAGAACTTCCATTCAGGTTTGACTACACACTGCCTTCAGGCTATTCCAGTGCTTTTTGACGCTGCCCTCTTCGCTAGTGTTGATTAGTGTCTCCACCTCCTGTTTCTCTGAAAGCTTTTAATTTGATTTGGATTGTCCCTTGTACGAGGTAGTGGTCTGAGCCAACGTTTGCTCCTCGTCTTAATTTCGTGTTCAGTAAGCTCCGCCTCCACTTCCTTGAGATTGAGGTGAAGTCAATTTGGTTTTTGGTCCACCCATCTGGTGACACCCATGTAGCCTTGTGCATATCCTTGTGTTTGTATACGCTGCCACCAATCACTAGTTCATTGAAGGCGCAGAAGTCGGCGAAGAGTTCTCCATTTTGATTCATTTCTCCGAGAGCTTCTCTACCCATGATGAGTTAACTTTCTGTGTTGTCTGGTCCCAGTTTGGCGTTCATGTCTCCCATTAGTGTTTAATTGTCACCAGTCACCAGTATTGTCTATTGTTTCTTGTAGTTGTCTGTAGAACGTTTCTTCTTTTTCAAGGTTTGCGTTGTTTGTCGGTGCATAGCATTGCATAACTGTCAGTCTCCTTCCTTTTGAGTTGAATCTGACTGTCATTATCCTGGGAGAGATCGCCTCCAATTGTATCAGGGCTTTCGTTGCCGTTGATGACATCATGATAGCCACTCACTGCCTCAGTGTGCATGTGGTTGTCTTCTGGGTGGCCGGAGTAGATCACTGACTCTCCCGTTGACAATTTGGTGAGTCCATTCCCATTCCATCTGTTTTCACATATTCCCAGTACTTGCATACCATATCTCTTCATCTCATTTGCAATCTGGGCAGCTTTGCCAGTCTCACGCATGGTGCGTACGTTTCACGTCCCCACAAAGAATTTTTCTTTCGTCTTATGAAGTTTAATCGTACTGAAGTTTCTGTAGCAGTTTTGTTTACAGGGTGGGGTTGCTAGTCTCATGCCCTCATATATATATATATATATGTATATATATAAATATATATATATATATATATGGGTCGAAAACTTGACTCACGAGTCACGGAAAGCATATCCAGCCGTCAACGACAGACTTTTATCAACAGCTGTCCCTTTCACTGACTCCATACTGAAGATCAAATGACCATCTAGAAAGAATAAGGAACAAACTAGCCAAGATCTTATCGTTCAACAAATATGTAGGGGAAAATGGCGATGGATTGGGCACACGCTACTGAGGAGACCGTCGAGTGACATTGAGCTCCATACAGGCCATTGCTCGAGTAGAATCCCCAGTGGGTAACCATGAGTGAGTCGTCGATACGTCGGTAGCATGGAGGAGATCGTGTGACGAGGAGGAGTAGAGGGATGATGCCCGATCGTGGACCTAGCAGTAGAAGATAGGACAAAATGGGGATATGTTGTTTAAGCTGTATGTTCCATTCGGAACGCAAGGGAATATTTATTCCAATCCGTTTGTGTGAAACGTTTTTGAGATTCACTTTAGTGATCCATGTAGATACTCTCCACTGCATTACAATTTATCTTTCAAATCTATTTCGGTATAATCCATTCCAATTGATGAAAGTGTGTAGATGATACGCATCTCTTTTTATGCAATCAATTATCGTTGAAACTGTCTTTGATTGATAAGCGTTTATCATTTTCACTTAAACCTAAAAGACAGGACACAGTTATCCGTAGAAGAGATAATAAAAGGAGTGGAATTCTGTCTGACAACAACATATTTCACATTCGAAGGGAAAATATACCAACAAAATGAAGGAGTAGCCATAGGATCGCCTATCTCACCAATAATAGCTGATATATTCATGGATTATTGGGAAGAGAATACCCTTAAACCATTCAGGTTATCACTAAAATGTTGGTGGAGATATGTAGACGACATACTAGTAATAGTGAAAGAAAAACGATATTGAGAAACTCTTCTCACACATAAACAGCCATGTCGACTCAATAAAATTCACTATGGAAGTAGAGAATGAAATTTGGTAACTGCCTATGTTAGACTGCAAAATACAAAGAATAACAGAGGGTAGTATTAAAACGACGCTATATAGAAAAACCACACACTCTGGAAGATTCCTCGATTATCACTCAGCTCATCGACTCACGGTAAAAAGAGGATCAATACAAGGTCTTGCAGATAGAATACATAGACTTACAACAACGGCAGAGGACCAGTGTAAAGAAATAAACGTCCTATTCGAAATGCTACTCGAAAATAACTACCCAAAAGAATTTACAAAAGATAACATAAAAAAGAGGGTAAAACCGGAGAATAACAAGATGGAAGAATGCAAAAAAAACAGTCACAATACCATACAAAAATGGTCCATCAGAGGTAATTCAAAGAAACCTCAAAAATATCGGCATTCACACAACTTTTAAACCGACAAATCTAATCAAAAATAAATCAACTGAAAGATCCCATAAAAATGATGGATAAAAACAACTTGATTTACAAAATATCTTGTGCTGACTGTCCGACTAAATATGTGGGGCAAACGTCCAGATCACTCAAAATAAGAGTGAATGAACATAAACGCCTAACCAAAGGTCAACCAACAGGAACACAAGCCTACGAGAATCTTGAAAAAAAATCCATCGATAGCTGCACATGTATGGGACGAAAACCACAATATCGATTGGAACAATGTGTGTATTCTAAAACCCAACATGAACAAATGGAAAGAAAGACTTCTAACAGAATCGATGTTCATTAAAGTCACACCGGATACATGCAGCAAGGGTGACTCAGTACAACTATCAACAACTTGGAATATAATTCTGAATACAAAAAAACATGAATGAGCAAAAATAATGAACTATATATATAAGTACAAATCATAAATGTGTGAATAAAACAATTCCAACAGTGGTGTGAACACAGGCAGTAATTTTGCTCGAAATATTACCAATAACAAAACTTATCATTGTGTGTGAACTATTGAAATATAATTATACTTTATTTGATCTAATCCACAATGCTCAAACTTTTTACTGATATTAACCCCTATAAGACCTTAATGTTTTACGAGCTGATCACGGATTGATATCAGTTAGAGAACCAGGGAGTACTGGATAGCTGCTGTTTCATCCTAGTTTGGGAATCATCGCCAGTACGCACCCACTGGGATTCGAACCCAGGACCTTCCGGTTACAAGGCAAGCTCGTATACCATTCAGCCACTCGGACCCGATCCAATGGCTCATGAATTCTAACTTCTACCAATTCGTGATTTAGCACGACTCCAACCATTGTCGTTGGTGGAACATCCATCCACACACGTGACATATAATTGGACCTCAATGGTCACGACTTCTCACTAGAACTCCAGGAAACTCCATCCTGTAGCAAGTCACTAGAGGGCATCAGATTTGTTGGGTTGTGTATTCTAGTCATTACGCGATGTTTTCAGTTGATTTTATTTTTTGCTGAATTTAATAGACCTACTGTACGAATTCTAATTTTCACTGTAATTGGACCGCGTGATCCGAAATCATTTCTACAATATTTATGGGTGAGAATTTATATTATAATTTGTACACTAAAGTTACAGATATATATACTTTTTATTCAATAATAATAAAACCACGGAATATACACATTTGATCATAGGGAATAATGAAAAGACCAGTTACAGAGAAGAAAATTTTCTTTTTGATGAAGTCATCAACTGGATAGCCAGCTGTACATTCGTGTATTTATGACAAATAGATGGGAAAGTTCCAGAATAATTTCCGGTTGAGGGTGAAATTAATAAAACTGCAATTAGGAATTAAGATGCCATAATAAACAGGGGGACGGGATGGATGAAACTCAAACAAAGTAGCATCATAATTATGGGGAAGATTGGCATTGATTGTGCAATTGGGGGTTAGAAATGTAGAAATGACAAAAATGGACAGGAATTTTGGTTAAAAAATCTAATAGGATCATAACTAATGTGACGAATAATTGTTTATGCGACTAGTGATTAAATATGTAGAAGTAATAAAATGACAAAATAGACACGAAGTTCGGGCATGAAAATATGGTAGTTTGAACAGGGATTAAGAATAACTTAAAACTAATATGAATAAACAGGAAGTTTGGATAAAAAAGGCAATGGGGTAGTCACTATTAAAAGAATTACCTATTTATGATGGCCATGGCAGGGACAAGGGTTGTACATATTTCTTTTAGATACATAGCGTGGGTTTGAGCTTTTGGATGACTAGTGCCTCGGCTATGCCCAGATGTCTTGATTTCACTCCCTTTGATAGGTTTGATCGAATCTTGTATATTATTTTGAAGGATTTTTCGAATGGTGCTGAATGTCCTGAGTTGACCAGATGTCCTGTCACTGAACTATATACGCGTTTTCGATCTCCTTTTACTAACCAGGCTGGATAGTTTTCACGAGCGCCTTTTTCAAGTTGGCACATGGTAGGGCCGATGTACTCAGCTCCGCAAGACCAAGTAAACCGGTATATGCACGTTGAAGTGGCCAAATGCGACAGCTTATCTTTCGCGTTCTAGCTGAACAGTTTCTTGCAGGAAAGCGTCAGTCTTAGGCTCGCGGCGAAGTATGTTTTCTTCAGAGATTTACAGAGGCGTTTACGAAGGATTTCTGCTTCGATGTCACTTTTGAATTTTAGATTAAGCAGAAGTATTTTCATTGAAACAGATTGTACTTGTTCGGAAGTCTTCTTTGATTTGCGATTCTTGTCTATGAACCTAGGCGGAAAACGTTTTTGCCATAAGGGTTCCTCTCAGATTATGCAGTTCTTCATCAATCACTTCTTGGCTGCACATCTTCCGAATCCTTGAGGAAAGGTTTTTATTTCAAACAATATGCGAACATATAGTACAAAAAATTTCAGCTTATTTAGTTCCAAATTACCTTTTTTTAGTTCTCACAGGATTTACGTGTAAATTAATAATTTTAAGTATATTGTAAAGAGGAGGAGGCTGGAAGGAATGTTTATTTGGTGAAACGTATTGTACATAGGTAAATTTGGTATACCATATTCTCAAACCGCCATTTGCACTTTATTTACCACATCCTTGACGAATTGGTCGAATATCGTCACATTCGATAGCTTCTTGGATTCTGCATCATATGGCAACATTCTTCTCATAGTTCTCTTCTTTGATGGCTCTTTCCAGTGTGCAAAACATATTGTTACTTTTCTGAATTGGCTTTCTGATATACTACTTATATCGGATTATAAGTAGCACTCACCACAGTATATCTTCATTTTGTTGAAAAAATCAGCTCGCCAGTTCATGTTATAGGTCATTTAATATAAATGGACGATTAAAACAGAAATAAATCCAGATGAAATTAAGCATTTCTGTGAAAGGCAGCTCCGGTAGCTCAGTGATTTAAGTAGGCCACCGTATATATATAACATGTATGACTCAAAATTGCTATCAGTGGCTGGCTGAATTGTATTCATCTACTCTTCGTGATTTGTCATATTCATTCAATAAAACTATTGTTGTTCCGTATTATCGTACTGTGATAAGAGCTGTCTGCAAGCCGAAATTGTAGACAACAGTTTGCGTCAATTTTTACGTCCCGAATCGGGGTCATGAGGAACTCATCATCTAAACACAGCAGACTTAACGTGTGCAGATATGTGAACTGACTTTCTAAGAAACGGCCACAAAGAGTCAACAGAATAAACTTCAGCAAGAAAACAACTAATCAGAAGACGTTGCTTCTCTGCTCACAATAACGCTAATAACAATGTACATAAAAATAAATATAAATATCTCTTGATTTTCACAATATAGGATCTGTTGATATAAGAATAAAACTTGTGCACTGTGGTAGAGTGTAATTCCATTATGGGTAAATTTTGTTTTGATAAAGTCTCACACTGTTATACAGTAATGTTTACTGATGACCACGTTTCGAGCACAATTTATTGCTCCTAAATTCATTTATATAGTTCTATTGTTTTTCACTTGATTTGATTGGTAGTATTATTTTCCATATTTCGGGTATGAGTGATGATTCATTCTTATTGCATGTGTTGGGTGTAGATTCGATGAACAAGGATTCAGTAATCAACCTCTCTCTCCACCTACCTAGATTACTTTTTAGAATTTTAACCTTCTCCCACCCTATTGTGTGGTTGTGTGTTAATGCATGCATTGCGATTCCAAAAAGTAATCTAGGTAGGTGGAGAGAGAGGTTGATTACTGAATCCTTGTTCATCGAATCTACACCCAACACATGCAATAAGAATGAATCATCACTCATACCCGAAATATGGAAAATAATACTACCAATCAAATCAAGTGAAAAACAATAGAACTATATAAAGGAATTTAGGAGCAATAAATTGTGCTCGAAACGTGGTCATCAGTAAACATTACTGTATAACAGTGTGAGACTTTATCAAAACAAAATTTACCCATAATGGGAAGGATCTGTTGACTGGCCGTCGTCTTCTGTCGCTACATTAGGAAATGTTTATAAGGTTATACATTTAATGTGTTTATGGGTCAAGCAGACAAAATGGCAGTCTGCTTAAATTACTGGACTACTAGAGTTTCCATCTATCAAAATCTTGGCTGAACTTTTCTGCATTCCCTGTTGTTTTAATATCATGCCCATTTATGTATCAAATAATCTGAGCATGAACTCGGGCGCATATTTAATTAACTTCCAACTGACTGGTGTGCAATTCTTGAAAAATATGAAGAAAAACATGACAGAATTTGTAGGTTCTCTTTTCATATACAACAACACTCGGTGACATGATATACTACAGATTTGAATGTAAGAATGAAACAGCTCAGTGAAGAGTCTCTTTTCTGCGGTGGCGGCGATTTCATTCACTTAGCTGTACAATCGGATTTATGTATAATTATTCTGGCTTTATGTGTATTTTGAATTTTTGTACGACATCTTAGTAACATCTTTTACCTTAACCGACCCTTAACTCTTTAATCTTCCTACCTACTTCATAGTTTATTTTTGACACTTGTTTCTATGCCCTTTCATTACGTGACTGTAGTCAATATTATTTTTAAATTATTAACATTGGCTTCCTTTTTTGTACTTTACTATATTCCTTCCGACTCTATTAGCACTATTAGTATTACAAAATTGTCCTGTCATTAACCATCATGTAATTATTAGTTTTGTGGTTGTTTTTTCCTTATTTTCTATACTTTCCGGCAATATTAAACTGACAATCATTGGTAGTGAACGCCATTGTCACCACCTTAAAATTTTCGATTATACAGGATTACTCACACTACCACTACAAACACTGCATTAGACCTGACAATAAAAAACAAAACAACAACCCTGAAATGTTATTTTATTTATTGTTTAGAGTTGTATCAACCAAATTAACTGATCATCTTGGCGATAAGCTTTCTTAAATATCATTTCATAACTTCTTGTATGACTATAGCTTTACTGTCACCATGCATAACCACATCATAGCTTCCACTACCCTATACTGAGATATTATTATATGCTGTTTATTTTCCCTTCTACTTCTTGGTATTTTTTCGCATTTTTTAAAAATTATTTTGTGTTTAATTTTTTGCTTTTTTGTCTTTATATTTATTTTTTTTTGAAAATACTCCTTTTAAACGTTGGATAAAATTAGATACAAATATTGTAGATATGTTCTGAAAATTCCACACTGTACCACTAGTACTGTTTCTGGAATAAAGCAAATTATTATTATTATTATGAAGTCATACACTTAATTTGTTTATAAGTCAGTCAGGCAGGTAAAACGGCAGCCTGCTTAAATCACCCGGCTACAAGAGTTTTCAACCATTAAAGTGCTTTTTTGAACGCTTCTGGATTCCCTCTTGTTTTAATCATGCCCATTAATTATCAAATGATTCGAAATGTTCATGAAGCCGGCTCATCCTCCCGTAGGAGATAGCCGAAGTAAAGTAATGTAAGTAATACATGAGTTAGCGTGCATATTTAATTAGCTTCCAACTAAATAAACACTGCTACATAAACTTCAAGCCGCTAGCTGGAAGCCCTATGTTCCACTGGAGAACGTGAAGGAAAAAAGAAAAAGAAGATGCAGTTGGCATAAACAGTGAGATTCGGATTTTCAACATAAATGTGAAGTCAGTCAGTCAGTTCTTCTATATAGGTCAGAAACTTGACCAGTGCGTCACGATAAGGATTTCCAACAAGTTACAGACTTTGATGAACAACTGGCCCCTTCGCTGGCGCCCAACTGAAGATCAGAAAGAATTAGCAACAAGAAACTTTGGCAACAAACCAACCAAGAGCCGACTGCTCAACATATGTGTTTAGGATAAAATGGAGATGGATCGGGCATATGTTGAGGAGGCCGTTACTCCAGTGTAATCCCAATGGAAAGTGACAAGTGGGTAGTCGGTGCGAAGGTGACACTGAGGAGATTGTGCGGCGAGGAGAAGATAAAAGATTATGGTCAATCGTGGGTTCAGCTAAATAGGGGAGTAGAAAATAGCAGAAGGTGGAGATATGTTGTTGAAGCCAGCCCTATGTTCTACTCGGAACCCAAGGGAAAAATAACAATGACAATATAATAATAATAACTTTTTGAACTAATCCATCCGTTCATTTTTTTTCTATATTCCAGTCTTGCACACCTTCATTCGACATGATCGTTTTTACTGATCCTCATGATGGTCAATTTGGTAATTCTAATTTTCTTTTTTGGTTTTTTGATGCTACACAAAATAGTTTTTTACATCCGCATAAAGTAGTTTTGTGTTTATCTGAAGTGCTTTACTGAATCATTTTTGCTTTATTGTGTATAATTTATTGAATGTTTGTTTTGTAGTATGACCGAGGCGCGCAACTATAGATATCAATGAGGAATTAGTGTTCATCTGATCAGTATGTGCGTCGCTGGCACAGCGGTTAGGACTCTCGGCGACCATGCACATAGTCCGGGGTTCGATCCCCTGCTGACACACACCTGATATCTATGGTCGGCCTGTAAAATTTGGGCTACCGATATCATATACTGAAAATTCCATACTTGTACCAAAAATACTGTGTGGTTTCAAGCTATAATCAAAAAACATATTGATATCATTCGTGTGTCGATGGTTCTGTGGTAGAGATCACCAACCACACACACGAGATCAGGATTCGATTCCCGGTCGATATATTTCTGTACATCACTTAGGCAGTTGCAAGTCTGATAAAAAGCGGAAAGTTGTACGTTAAGCTAGCAACTTCATCCCGTAAAAAAGCCCAAACGCTATTGAAACTGCAAGGAGTAAGCTTGAGTCCTACTCGCTCCCCGCATATGTTCCACTCGGAACTTATAGGAGTGCTGCAAACAAAAATGCGAATGACTCTTGACGTCGCGTCAATATCATGTCCTAGGTCCAGAAGTAGCTTTGTTTCTGAACTTTAAAGCACTTTCTCTTCAGTTGTTTTCAACCACCTTGGCAAATGCTTCATCATGCGACGAGTAGAAAATCTACCTTTCTGTACGACCTACATGTGTTTGCTTCGACAAGCACTCAAGGTCATATATATGCATATTTTTTGAAGTGTCGAGGATTGGCGACTGGTCTTTCCCAGATTGTTGAAACACCCGCTTAATTGGTAGTGTTAAGGAAGATGAGTTATGCAGTATAATATGTTCTCTTGATAGCTTTATTGAGTTTTCGTTTGACTACTTGTACACATCATCTAGTTTGAGCTATCTATCAACTGGCAACTTTTCAGAACTTCAATTAGAACAAGGGTTTTTATACTTTGGCGAAATATTTCCCACCTATCATTTCAATGCCTGATTATAGTATAAATGTTATACACTCGACTTATGTCTATTGAAACATTTTTATTAATATTTTATTATATCTCAATGTTTTATTGTGCAGTGTCTGTCTGTCTTTTTTCCACAAAGAACTTTGCACTGATTTGCAGCAGTTCAAGTCGCCATATTCTCTCCGTTTAGCACACAAAGCAAGAGAAAAAAGTAAAAAGAAATACAAAATAGAGACAATAAACGGAGATATGAGGTAAAAAGAATGGTAATATCGAAGAACAATATAGTTTCATTGGGTATTATAAGTCACAGAGAGTGGATGCATCTGCGCCACTGAGAACGATTTTCAGCCATATCACCGATTGTATCCAGCCTTCATTGGTTTTTACAGTTCCGAGGACCCCAACCAGGAAGTCTACACTTCCTACCTGGCCTAAACTAACTGTTGTGAATTTCATTGACTGATAAAGCTATGTTTTGGTTTGACCGCCGCTAGCTCTTTACCAGCCTGACCCTATGTCAGCTAACATTCCCCGTCGTCGCGGAAGGCGATGGCTAGGCATACGTGATACATGTCCTAACCATCTCAGTCGATGTAACTTCACAGCCTCGTCGATTGATTTCCCCTCCTTCCTTACCTAGCAATCGACCAAAGCCTAACCACCTCAATATTGCTCACCCTATTACACTGACCACTTCACATGTGAGATAGAACGTAGGCACCTATGATGAAAGACAGCTAGCCATCCTTTCCATGTCTTCCACTCTCAATGGCCAGGTCTAGCTCACAGCCAGCCATAAAGGAGGACGGAATGGACTGCTGAGCAGTACATTGAAACTAGGTATTGTTTATTTACCTTAGAGATTAATACTTTGAATGACAACTTTTCAAATCTCTTGCATTTTCCAGTTCATTTTGCCTATGATTGTCGTAAATTGTACCGATTTCGGCTAAACAATGTGAATATTGAACATAGGTGTATTTTGCCGATGTTAGAGTTGCAAACAGGGTGTACTGCACTAGTGATCATGCTATATCGTGAATTGGCAGAAGTTGGAAGTCATTGGGACTGTCCATTGGATCAGGTCGGGTCCCAGTAACTGGAATGGTCTATGAGCTCGCTGCCTTGTTGTAACCCGAAGGTCCTGGGTTCGAACCCTGTTGTTAGGTGGGTGGATGGGTGCGTACTGCTGATGCAGAATCACAAACTAGGCTGGTGAAACAGCAGTTGTCCAGTACTCTGGTGCTGGTTGTCCAATCGTTCTCTAATCGATGTCAGCTTATGATGATGAAATCCTGTAATCAAAGTGTATCCTGATTTCATAAGCTAGTTGAGTTATAGTTCTGATCCAGTGAAGTAAAGCCAAACCTTTTTATGATAGAAGTTTTCCTCAAAACATATAGTTGCCCATACTTTGTTTTCTATTCCGATCGGAGGAACATATATAGGACTTCATGCCTTAGTTTTGAAGTTCCTTTAGTAATGGTGCTTTTCTTTACCGGTTGGGGCTGCTAGCCTCACGTCCAACCTTCTGGCTTTATCACCATTATATAGCCGATTAAGGGAGAGGTAAAGGTGTGCGCTAGCCGGGAATCGAACGCCGGACCATGTGCATTGTTGGACAGTACTCTATCGCTGAATCATTGTCGCATATAGTGTTGTGCAAGAAAACTTACCAGAACTAGCAAACTTATTCATAGGTTATAGTTTTCTCTTTGAGGAATAAAGCTAGTCTGATTGTAATGTATTAAGGTTTCATCATGAATTGATATCCGTTGGAGAACCATTGGAAAACCTGAGAGTAACTGGGTTGCTGTTTCGTCAGCCTAGTTTGGGAATCTTCATCAATGCACACTCAATTTGTGTTTCGAACCCAGGACCCTATGGTTACAAGACGAGCTTGCAGACTATTAAGCCACTGGGAACTGATCCAATAATCCATGAATTCTGACTTCTACCAATTCATAATATGGCATGACTTGCACTAGCCAATATCATCCTTAACGGTAAGTATTTGTCCTCACACTCGACCTGCCGCTATACCCTACTGGTTATGACTCCCAGGTTTTCCAATGGTCCTCTAACCGATGTCAGTTCATGATTTTATTTTTATTCCTTCACGTTCCCAGTGAAACATAGGGCGTCTTCAAGCTAGAGGCTTGAAGTTTCGGTCGCTAACCTCATGCCCAACCTTTCCTCTCTTTACCAGTCTTATTACTGCCGTAACGAGGTAAAAAAGGAGTGCATCAGTGACCGGGGATCGAACCCCGGTTGGCCAGTGTCCTAACCGCTGTGCCACTGACGCAGGTCACGATGAAATCCTGAAACTGATCAAATTTCTGTGAACCAACACTTTAGTGTAATGTATTATTTGGTGAAGAAATTTACGGTAACTTATTTTTATTGTTTTCTTTAATTTATCCTATTGTAGATATTCTTCCTAGCAAAGAATCACATGATGAATTATGCTTTAAGATTTGGTCTCAGTTAAAATCGGAGTCGAACAGTACAGAAAAAGCGTCGTGTCAAACTGTCTTCAAACATATGAAATCTATATCTGACTTCTTGAATTGGCTTCATCAAAAGGAATATTTCTCTATCGAAGATTTACAATCGTATTCACCTAATCAATTAAGCATATCAGATAATCTTGTTGAGGATAATAGTACTGCACCCTATTGTCATATATTTGTCACTGGTAGTTTGTATATGGTTGGTCGGATATTGAAGGTAGGCGTTTTGTTAGCAGTTTTATTTTTATATTTTTTAAATGTATCTCTATTGATTAAACAGTTGAATATGCGATACTATTTTGATACCTCCTTTAGTTCCTAGAGAAGTATAGGGCTTCAGCCACACGTCTCCATTGCGTTCGGTTCTCTGCCAACCTTTTCACCTGGCTCCACGTCTTCCCATATGCTTTCATCTTCTCGTCCTCTTCACATCACCTCCTCCTCCATGTCACCCTCGCACTGACGGCCAACTCGCTACATGCCATTTGCATTCCACTCGAGTGATGGCCTGCATTGCGCATGATGTCACTTGATGATGGTTTGTTTTCTCAGAGTATAGCCAGCCAATCCACCTCCGTTTCCTCCTGCATATTTGTTGCACAATTGGTTTCTACTGGGTTGCTTCGTCCCCAGGGATCCCTGTTATTGATCTGTTTTTGGCCATCTGATCTTGAGCGAAGTATTGAGCGAAGACAGCTGTTGATGAAGGTGTGTAGTTTGTTCGACTTGGCGTTCGTGACGCTGCGCCAAGTGTCTGATCCGCATAGTAGCACTAACTTCACATTGGAGTTGAAAATCCGGATCTTGTTTTTCATGCTGGGCAGTGCTGTTGACCTCCACACAGACTTCAGAGTAATGAAAGCCTACCTCGCTTCATCGGTCCTCATTTTGGTATCCTGATCAGTTCTGTCCGCCTGTAGTTGAAATGACGATGTTTCCCAGGTAGGTAGGTAGGTAGGTGAAGGAGGTTGCTTCTTTCAGATTTCTCCCACTTACGCTGGCTGATTGTTGTCTCTTGTTGTTCTTGTTGCTGTTGGCCAGGAATCTTCATCACAATAATGTGTACTTTGTTAAGCTGGAATACCATTTTCATTATTTATCATTGGCAAATGTTGCCAACTCATGGTGTCTAGGCCAGTTCAAAGCTATTCTGACCAGACTGACTGACTGACTGGTTTCAAAATAGAACTTTTCACAGATGTGCAACACTTCGAGTTGCTACACCCCCCCCCCCCTCCATGTAGCACATAAAGCAATAGAAGCAAGTAAAAGGACGTTCAAAAAGACAGATAATAAACAGAAGTGTGAGTGAGGGAAAATGAATAGTAGTAATATGGAAAAACGATAAAGTTCTGTAAGATATGACAAATCACAAAGAGTGAATGCATCTGAGCCAACCATTGAGAGCGATTTCAAACCATATAACCATCTGTCTTCAGCCATTAGTTCTTACTATCTCGAGGACTAAAACCAGCCATGCTGTCTACACCTACGTCCTACGTGGCTGACTTAAACTAACTGTTATGCATTTCATTGATTAATGAAGCCATGTCTTTATTTGACCAGTTACAACTAGGTCTTTTCCAACTTTATTCTATGTCACTAAGCTAACACTACCCTTCGTCGAGTAAGGTGATGGCTAGTCATGCATGCACTACACATGTCCTAACCTTCTCATGCAGCCGATGTAACTTCACAACCTCATCGATTGATTTCCCTTCCTTACCTAATACTCAACCAAAACCTCACCTCAATATTACTCACCCTAATACACGTACCACATAACACGGGAGATAGAATGCAGGCATTTATGATCAAAGACAGCTAGCTGGCTTTTTCATCTTTCCCACCTTCAATGGACATGTCTCACTTACAACCAGCTATAAAGGAGAACGGAGCGAAGTGCTGCTGAGCAGGACACAATAGCCAACCGGACATCACATCTACTCAGCCAGATATGGCGTAAACTGGAATGTATCCATCTTGAGATTTAGTTAACAATCAATCCGCTGAAGTTGCTTGATACAACTTCCCAAATAAGTAAAGTGGTGGTCAATACGCTCTACCGCTCCACCCCTGCTTTTCTTTAGGCTACGAGTGAGTCGATTTACTCCAGTCCTAGAACTTCATGTTACATTTGACAGCAGGTGAGCGAATCGCATCCCAAACATTTGAAGATTGCTGCTCTTCAAGGTGTTTAGAAGACTCTGCATTTTGTTAGTATCGTCATCTAGACCAACCAGTGGTGCTAACTTACCAAACCGGATCCAAAAAGCTCGGGCTGCTTTCGCTAACTTACACCATCTCTGGCATAGGCGTGACATCCGACTATCAACCAAGGGACGTGTGTACTGATCAGCAGTTCGATCCGTCCTTCTCTATGGCTGTGAAACATGGCCAATACGAGTTGAAGACATGAAAAGGTTGACTGTTTTTGATCATAGATGTCTACGATCTCTTTCCCACATTAGGTGGCATAATAAGGTAAGTAATGTTGACGTTAGGCGTAGAGTGTTGGGCAAAGAGGGAAAGTCAATCGAAGAGGCTATAAAGTTACATAGATTGAGATAGCTAGGTCACGTGCTGTACATGCCTAACCATCGCCTCCCCACCCCGACGGGCATTACTACCTGATTTAGGTGCAGGTTGGAAAAGAGTAAGTGGTGCCATGCCACACAAAAACATGGCATCAATCCATGAAATCCTTGACAGTTAAACTGAGTCAGGTAGGGAGATGCAGACTTCCGGGTTGGGGCCCGCCCTCGGGACTCTAAGAATCAATGGCTGGAGACAATAGGTGACATGGCTCAAAATCGTTGTCAATGGCTTACGCAGATGTATTCAGTCTCTTGTGTAATCTTTCATATTCCTTTCTACCATTACTCATTCTGTTTCACTCTTATACTTGTCAAAACTCTATTGATTCTCTTCACTCATCTTCTTGTCTACCTTTGTGTGCTATTTGGAACGTGGCAACTCGAACTGATGCACTTCGGTGCCAAGTTCTACGTTGAATCCAGACAGACAGACGGACTAACCAAACCAGAGGGATTTAAACCCCCCGGACAACAGTTTCACTGATATTGTGATCAATGCTCGCTAAAGGTGTATTAAAGTCGATTTAACTCACAAAAGGTGAATATAGACTTAATCGAATTGGAAATAATTACTCATTTCAGTGGTCACTATTCTCTGTGACTTACACGCTGTTTGTCTGTCTGGATTCAAAGTAGAACTTGGCACCGAAGTGCATCAGTTCGAGTTGCCACGTTCCAAAGAGCACACAAAGGTAGACTGGAAAATGAGTGATGAAGAGAATCAATAGAGTTTTGACAAGTATAAGAGTGAAACAGAATGAGTAATGGTAGAAAGGAATATGAAAGATTACACAAGAGACTGAATACATCTGCGTAAGCCATTGACAACGATTTTGAGCCATGCCACCTGTTGTCTTCAGCCATTGATTCTTAGATTCCCGAGGGCCCCAACCCGGAAGTCTGAGTTACATGCATGTTTTTTTCAGTTGACATTGTTCACTGTATTCTAACAGAAGAAAATGTTTGTTGTCTGAAAATATTTGTTTCTTTTCGAGCATCTCTTACAGAAGACTTAGTATTAACAAATACGCACTACTAGCTGACATGAGTAGTACTTGGCAGTCGATCATATCGATCAGTAGTGGCTTACAAGCTAAATTAGGAGTAATTTAAACGCTGTAACCTTGATTCCGCGTATAATGCAAAGCAGGTCACATACATTATTCACATCGATATATACGTTAGCTTATTTTGAAAGTCTAGCAGATTCTCCCATTGGACTACTTGATTTGAATATATACTTTCATTTCATTTTATGTACTATGTCTGTCTGTCTACCTAAGTAGATAATTAGAATTCAGTTGGTTTAAAGAATTCACTTAAAGAATGGCAGTCACCTCTCTATCTCAACTTCATCGACTTTGAAAAGGCCTTTGACAACGTCGATCGAGCGGTGCTTTTGAAACTACTATGCTACTATGGGGTGCCACCGACAATTATACATCTCATCCAACAGCTGTACGACAATGCTGCATGCCAAGTAATTCACAACAGGAAACTTACGGAATCCTTCGAAGTGAGGACAGGAGTAAGATAAAGCTGTCTACTATCACCAATGATTTTCCTGATTGCAGTAGACTAGATAATGTGACAAACAGTGGGCAATGAAGAAACAGGCATAAAATGGACTCACAAAAACTTGGAGGATCTGGACTTCGCCGATGATATATGTCGCATTTCCCACAAACTGGAAGATATCCAAGCGAAAAAGCAACAAGTTTGCGATAGAAGAAGCATCAAAGATAGGACTTCAGGTGAACATAGAGAAAACAGAGGTGATGAAAATTCCTGGGCAACACCTCCAACAGCAACAACAACAACAGACAACAATCAGCTAGCATAAATGGGAGGAACCTGAAAGAAACAACCTCTTTTACCTACCTGGGAAGCATCGTTTCAACTACAGGCGGAACTGACGAGGATATGAAAGCAAGAATCGGAAAAGCAAGACAAGCTTTCACTACTCTCAAGTCTGTGTGGAGGTCAACAGCACTCAGAATCAAAAATAACATCCGGATTTTCAACTCCAATGTGAAGTCAGTCAGTGCCACTATACGGATCAGAGACTTGGCGCGTCATAAAGAGCATATCAAACAAACTACAGACCTTCGTTAACAGTTGTCTTCGCTCAATACTCAAGATCAGATGGCTGGCCAGAAAAGATCAGCAACAGAGATCTCTGGCAATGAGCGAACCAACCCAGCAGGAACCGATTGTGAAACAAATAGGCAGGAAGAAATTGAGATGGATTGGCTGGCCATACTTTGAGGAAACCATCAAGTGACATCACTAGACCAGCCCTTGACTGGAAACCGAAAGGGAAGCGGCGAGTTGGTCGTCAGTGCGAAGGTGGGGTGGCTTGGAGGAGGTCATGTGAAGAGGAAAGGAAAACGTGTGGGCAGACTTGTAGCCAGGTTAAGACTCTAGCAGAGAACCGAACGCAATGGAGACGTATGGCTGAATTAAAGGAAATAATAATAATATATGTATATGCGATATATATTATGAAATTGCTGGTGGTTTTCGGTATTTCATGTTTTAACTTTTCCTCCAAGTAGATTAGTTTCCAGGCTTATTATTAGCACTTGCCTTCTGTTTAAATAGTTTCGCTTGTCAAATTGTTTTCTTAATCATTCTACTTGTGTATAAATTATTTTTATAATTAACATCTTTTAAGGTGTTTTTTTTTCCAGAGCTGAAGAGTTTCAAATTTCTTTCTATATTTTTAGGAAATAAAAGAACCTGTGTAAAAATGTCTCAGTGATTGTCTACAGTTCACTGAAATTCAGATTAATGTATATTTAATTTAACCTCGGAATGTGTGTGTGTAACTATTTTTTGGGCTTATTCTCTTGCATTATTCAGCTTGAAATAAATCGGTGGAGTGTAACTAACTGTCCAATAGCATACCTACCTCACTTCATTGATAATTTCAACACAACTCCTATTTTTATGAAGAATGTTTCAATTCTTGAGTCATTTTAATGTACAGTATCTTTGTAATAATCTATTGAATAGATCGTTTGATTTGTAAACCTTAATTCTGTTTCCTTGATGTTTTATTGCATTTTTGGTGTCTGTTGTTATCATTGTCAATATCACCTACTTTACTTTACTTCGGCTATCTCCTACGGGAGGATGAGCCGGCTTCATGAACATCTCGAATCATCGCTGCCCAGGCGCGGCGATCTGATGAAGAGAGTTCATGAAGTTTCATGCGAATTTGGTACGAGTGATGTCCCCAGAATCGCTCGGCTTTTTGTTTGAGAGTGCAGCTCTAGCCTTTACACAACCAAGTGTGACCTACAAAGCAGTAGGAGTGGAGTAAGGAGTCCACTATCCATTGGCAGCCGGTGACCGGAGTTCGGTTCATACGCCTTTTTGAATAGGGCCAGACATCCAGGACATTCAACAAGCCCTTCGTCCCTACGTCTGCCGGTGAGCTCCAGTGGGCTTCATACGCCAGTCGTTGCAGGTTTGGAATCAGGGTTTAGCCATCTCCCCTAGACTGTCATCCAATGGACAGTCAACCCGGTGAAGAGCTCTGGGCATCCGCTTTCGCCCTCTCACTTTGGTGAAAAACACCTCCGCCACGTGAAGGCAGTGAGTAGGACCTCCTCAGGAGAGGCTATGTAAGACGCCCGGTCATATGGGAGCATTTCAAGAGGTGTGCGGAGGGGTGGCCAACTCGCAGCGCAAGACACCCACCCCCGACCATCCTGAGGCTTTGGAGGCCATTGTCAATATTCAATAGTGATTGTACATGAAATAGCAAGAAGATTTATTAAATGTGTAAAAATTTGTCACTGTCGTAGTGTATGTAATTGCATATTAACTTCTTTATTAGATGGATATATCACACACACAGTGTGAAGCAGTACTTGTTGCATACTGGATGACAAGGTTACGAACTCAATTTATTGCTGTTCATAATCATGTCATCAGTCATAACCATACACCTATACAGAGCTGTCCAGTACTCACTCCCTGTTGGTCTTCCAGTGGTTCTCTAACTGATGTCAGCTCATGATGAAATCCTGAAACCAATTAATCTTTTTTATTTAATTAAAAATAATTAATATGATCCGTTGTACAAGAGGTGGCTCTTGTTGCCCAAGTGGTCTAGTGGATAACACTTTGGCGTTTGAAACTATGGGTAATGAGTATGATGCTCGGTGGTGGGAATATCATCACTCACTGCGGAATGCAAATACATCCAGGTGAAGAGTCCTAATTAGGACGAAATACACACCACCTGGATTCCACTGGTAGACACCATTCACCAATTACCTTTTCGGTCGGTCGGTTTTCGACATAGAACTTTGCACTGATGTGCAGCAGTTCAATTCGCCACACTCCATGTAGCACACAAAGGAAGAGAAGAAAGTAGGAGAAATGCATAATATAGACAGTAAACAGAAGTGTGAGACAAAGGAAGAGTAATAACGGAGAACAAAACAGTTTCACTGGAAATCATGAGTCACAAGAAGTGGATGCATCTGCACCAGCCACTGAGAACGATTTTGAGCCATGTCACCAATTGTTTCCAACCATTGGTTTTTACCGTCCCGAGGACCCCAACCAGTCAGGAAGTCTACACCTTCCTACGTGGCTTAAACTAACTAACTGTTGTAGATTTCATTGACTGGTGCCATGTTTTGGTTTGACCACCACTAGCTCTTTTCCAGTCTGACCCTATATCAGCTAACATTGCTTGTCGAGGAAGGCGATGACTAGGCATACGTAACACATGTCCTAACCATCTCAGTCGATGTAATTTCACAGCCTCGTCAATTGATTCCCCCTCCCTACTTACCTAGAACTCGACGCCTAACCTCAATATTGCTCACCCTATTACACCTACCACTTCACACGGGAGATAGAACGCAGACACCTATGATCGAAGACAGCTAATCTTTTCATGTCTTCCACTCTCAATGGCCAGGTCTCACAGCCATAAAGGAGGACGGAGCGGACTGTTGAGCAGTAGACACGCCCTTTGGTCGATAGTCAGATATCACGTCTACGCCAGAGACGGTGTAAACTGGCATATGCGAACCTAGCCCTCTGTATTCGTGCTGAAATTTCGTCGGAGATCAACCCGTTGGGGCTGATGGTACTTCCTAAGTAATTGAAGCGGTCAACGTGTTCTACCACTTCACTTCCTATTTCTAATCTAGGGGTCGGTGAAGTCCAATCCTGCAGCATCATCTTACATTTTACAGCGGTGAATCGAATGCCAAACATACGAAGATTGTTGCTCAGGGTGTTCAGTAGACTCTGCATTTTGTCAGAGTCCTCGCCTAGAAGGACTATATCGTCCGCATATTCTAAGTCAACGAGATTATTTCCTGGTAGCAAGTCAATCCCTGAGTCGCTGAAGTGTGTTAGGGTTAAGTCCATTAGTACGTCTATGATGAAGTTGAATAGGAATGGGGATAATGGGCATCCTTGACGGATGCCACTAGTCGTCACCACTTCAGATGACAACTCGCCATAAGCCCTCACCTGGTTGCATGAGTACGAGTAGAGTGCCTTTATCAGTGCAATGTATTTTCTTGGCATTCCCTTTACAGCCAAGCATCGCCAGAGAACCTCTCGGTCGACAGAATCGAATTCCGCCTTTAGGTCAAGAAATATAATGATTGTCGGACGCCGGTAGGAATGCCTATGTTCTAGAATCTGTCGAAGGGTGAAGATATGATCAATACACCCTCTACCTGGCCTAAAACCTGCCTGGTTTTCTCGTGTTTGTGTCTCCCGAGAACCACTTAGTCTACGCAGTATTATTGAGCCTAGGATTTTAGATACTATATTAGTCAAGCTAATCCCTCTGTGATTATCACAAGACGACTTGTCCCCCTTCTTGTATATCGTGATGATCAGTGACTTACACCAACCCGATGAGACTTCCTCTGGTTCCCAGACGCTGCCTAGAACCTCCGTTAACGCAGACAGTAAACTGTCTCCACCGTACTTAAATACCTCTGGAGTCAATTAACTTATAACTACATATCTTCGAAATTTGAGTTTCATTATTTTCTTTATTCTTTTCTATTCATCATCGTAGAGGGCAGATATATTCATGGATAGTTGGGAAAATATTCATCCGCATCCCAAAAGTATGGTAGAGGTATGTAGAGGACATATTCACCGTACTTAGAACACAGTACATAGATAGATTTTTCGAGCATATCAACTCGAAGGTAGAGGTGATTTAATTCACTTATGAGTCTGACAGTCTGAAAGGGGAGCTTCCAATGTTTGATTGTAGCCTAAAAAAGGAAGGGAATGGGAAGTTGAACACTAGTGTTTGTAGGAAACCCACATATTCCAACAAATATTGGTATTTCCGACCATCCCATTCTATGTCAGTGAAAACAGGATTGGTGAAATGGTTAAGCAATAGAGCACAAAAACTAAGTAGTGCCAAGGAAAATCTGCGACAGTGGAAGTGAGGCATATAAGTAGAGCTTTGAAACTTTATAATTACCCTAATAAATTAATCAGGAAGTATGTAGGAAAATGTAAAAATGAAGGTAACAACAATAATAATGGCCGTGATAGGCATAATAATAACGATATTGTTATTATTATTAATGACGGCATGCATGTCAACCATGCACAGGATAATGACAACATCAACAATAGGTAATATAAATCATCGGTAGTACAAAGGTCCATGCAAAGAAGGAACCTCGAAAACCTTACGGAGGATGCTTAACAATGCAGAAATAAAAATGGCTGGCGTTCAAACCCACAAATTCAATTAGAATCAAGCCTTGTAGGTTAGAGGATCGTGTGGAACAGCCAATTAAACAATACAATTTAGTTTGTCCAGTATCCTGCATGCAGGGTCAAATACATACGTCAGAGTAGTAGTAGTAGTAGGTTGGGGTCAGTGAGACTAGTGGAGCAGTACAAAAGCCCGGTAAAATCTAGATTCGTTGGCCCTAATGAGATAAGAAATCTGGAGAATAGTTGAGCAGCTATAGTACTCACTACATGCAAATACACACAAATAGGATGGGATAAGATGACAGTTCTAAGATCTAATATAACAACAACAAGGTGAAGGGAGAGATTGATAACAACAACGGAAGCTTTATTTATTGAATTAACTGAATGGAAATGAGTGTAATAGGAACGATTCAACACCTGTCCACTCGGAAAATTCTACTACCTCTAAGACGGCGAATAGAAGCGAATAAAGAAGACTATAAAACGAGGATTTTGAAGTTGTGTGGTTGTAATTGATGATATGATTATGAATAGGAATAAATTGTGTTCGAAACCTTGTCATCCAGTATGTTATGAATACTGCTTCACACTGTGTGTGATATATATCCATCTAATAGAAAAATAAATATGCAATTGCAACAGTTATTGACTAATCTCTGGATTGGATTGCACTCGATAATATTTCTCCCTAGTTAAAAGATAATAAAGGACGCACTGGATACAGAACTCCGCCAACTAGAACAAGCTGGATTCAGGAAAGGCAAATCATGTTCTGACCAAATTGCAACTCTACGCCCCATCATCGAACAAAGCATGAAATGGCAATCAAACCTCTACCTTAACTTTATAGACTTTGCGAAGGCCTTCGACAGCGTTGACCGCGAAGTAATTTGGAAACAACTCGAGTACTACGGCGTACCCCAAGTATTCATCAACATTATTCAACAGCTGTACGACAACGGCACATGTCAAGTCATCCACAACGGAAAACTCAGCAAGGCGTTTGGAGTAAACACAGGAGTCAGACAAGGGTGCTTATTATCACCAATGATATTCCTATTTTTGGTGGACTGGATCATGCGTCAGACAGTGGGAAACCAGAAGACAGGGATATCCTGGACCGATGTGAAGAATCTAGAAGACCTGGATTTCGCTCGTTGGTGATTTATGTTTGATGTCACACAAAATCGAAGACTTACAGGCGAAAACCGACAAACTGATCGAAGAAACAGCAAAGACACGACTCCAGGTGAACATAGACAAGACGGAGGTTATGAAAATAACCAACCAACAAACAACA